TTGGAGCTATGACTTTCATATTTCACATGTGTATTCCTTGTGACAAGACCTTTCTTTGGGTACCATCATATTTGACCTTTTGACCTTGACCTTGGAATTTGACCCATTTTTGCAAAATTTTATTAGACTTTAACCTTGGCCATAACTTCTGAACAGTTGGTGCTTGGGGTTTCAAACTTCACATGTGTATTCTTTGTGACAAGGCCTTCCTTTGGATACCAACAACTTTGACCTTGGAGTTTGACCTACTTTTGAAAAACTTTAACCTTGGCCATAACTTTTGAACAGTTGGTGCTTAGGGTTTCAAACTTCACATGTGTATTCCTTGTGACAAGACCTTCCTCTGGATATCAACCACTTTGACCCTTTGACCTTGACCTAGGAGTTTGACCTACTTTTGAAAAACTTTAACCTTGGCCATAACTTTTGAATGGTTGGAGCTAGGGCTTTCATACTTCACATATGTAATCCTTGCGACAAGACCTTCCTTTGGATACCAACCACCACTTTGACCTTTTGACCTTGACCTAGGAGTTTGACCTACTTTTGAAAAACTTTAACCTTGGCCATAACTTTTGAATGGTTGATGCTAGGGCTTTCATACTTCACATATGTAATCCTTGTGACAAGACCTTCCTTTGGATACCAACCACTTTGACCCTTTGACCTTGACCTAGGAGTTTGACCTACTTTTGAAGAACTTTAACCTTGGCCATAACTTTTGAATGGTTGGTGCTAGGGCTTTCATACTTCACATATGTAATCCTTGTGACAAGATCTTCCTTTGGATACCAACCACTTTGACCTTGACCTTGACGTTTGACTTTTATTTAAAAAACTTTAACCTTCGCCATAACTTTTGAACAGTGGTATCTAGGTCTTTCAAATTTCACATGTGTATTCTTCGAGACAAGACCTTTCTTTGGGTATCAACATTTTTTATCTTTTGGCCTGGATTTTGACTTGCATATGAAGAAACTTTAACCTTCGCCATAAGCTGCCATACGGGGGCATCAGTGTTTCACAAACACATCTTGTTTAAATTGTCATCTGAATTAAGGAAGATCCATTGTTCGGATTATAGTTGCATGATAGTTCATGTGACATATATGTATATTTTTTTATTTTTGGTAACTGAAATTGTATATCAAATATTAAAGGGATGTTTGTTGCAAATTTTAAAGTGTTCAGTTAATTTGTATAAGAATGTATAATTGTCCTATGAGTTGTTACCTTTAAGAGATCATACAAGGATCATGATTTTAATACGAGTTGTTAGCTACAACAGATCATACCAGGACCATGGTTTTCTTGCAAGTTGTTTAGTTTAACAGATCATCCAAGAACCATGATCCATTAGCTCATTTGGATGTATGATTTTTGAATGAGTTTTATAAGCTTTAACAGATCATACCAGAATCATGATTTTAACTGTAGTTGTTAGCTTTAATGGATCATACAAGAATCATGATCTATTAGCTCATTTGCATGTGAAATTTTCCTATACCGAAATCATAACAAAACCATGATTTAAACATGGGCCATTAGCATGATCCCATAGGCTGTTTTTCTTTTTCTGTTTGGGGTACGTACGTTTACTGGGTGTACTTACCCGTGACGAGGCTTGCTATGATTCTAAATAGGTCATAAGAGGTTAATCGCATGTAAATGAAGTCAAGCAAGAGAATCAGAAGAGAATCAAAATCAGAATACTTTTATTTAGAAAACATATAGCACAAGGTTGTTCAACAAAGATATTTTCGCTGAACCTTTATACATATAACATATACACATTATATTCCGAACTTGACTCTAAACAAACCTGTGGCCTGGTGTTCACGGAAGCTTCGAAGTCTGCAGGCATGCTATCGAAGCCATCTTAGGACTAAGACATATCTTAAGAGATATCTTAGTCCTAAGTGAGGCCATTGAATCTGTCCTAACTTAAGACGTATCTTAGAATTTCTCCTAAAGTTAAGACATTGCAAGACCCGTCCTAACATGAACTTAGGAGACTCCAAACTTTGTGCAATCGTTCATTTCTTATCAGACATGTAGTATTGGGGGAGGGGGGGGCAATGTGGGTCCTCCTATTACTCCCCCCAAAAGTTTCTTCTAACCCCCCCTAAAAATATCTAGTGTTTAGAAGTTTTCCTTTTTTTGTGCCTCTCAGAGTTAATCAGGAACTTTTTCTTTTTTTTGTTTGTACGTTTATTATACGGTTGTACATTTTAGTTACAATCTGTTGCTCTGCCCACCCCGTTCCCTCCAACTTTGAAAAACACTGAGTGCTTCGTTCCTACCTATGTATAAATAATTGTCCAATTGTAAATATAACTATTATGATATTTCTTCTTAGCAATTAAGAAATTAAATTGACTTGAATTAAATTGGAGTTACATGTAGTCGTCACAATTCCAAAAGTATTTAAGTAACACTTCGAAAAAGTTGGGATTGCTTTGATGGTTCTTTATATGCGTTAAAACCTAAAGCTATACTAAAGCTGTACTAGTTATTATTCAGTCGAGGATCACGAATGAATGAGAATAGCACTAACCAGCACGGGATTTAGCGGGACACAGTAACTTGAAGAGGTCACCACCAAGGGCTATTCATGCTCGCTGTACCTTATATGAAATGGAGGAGGTTCTATACCGCGTCAAAAGCTATCTTACTATAATCGAGGCAGTATTTCCCTGCCTAGACTCTGTCCGCTAAATCGCTCGCCCAAGCTAATTTAATACCCGACGGGTTTATTTCTTAGTTTGTTAATTATATAAAATTTATTTATCTAATTTGTTTTGCAAGACTTAGTATTAATATTGAAATGAGAATTTTTACAAACTTATCTTTTAAACTCTTTCAAAATGTATGTTTTCATATTTTCTTCATTATATATATATATATATATATATATATATATATATATATATATATATATATATATATATATATATATATATATATATATATATATATATATATATATATATATATATATATATATATATATATATATATATATATATATATATATATATATTTATTTATATATTTATTTAATTATTTAGAGAGAGAGAGAGAGAGAGAGAGAGAGAGAGAGAGAGTTGTCCCTTTAATAAATTTATTAATTAAAATAAGAAAGCGTTTTTAGAAGTAGACAATTATTCTATGACTACTTCTATCTAATTCAATTTTTTACAAGTTATTAAAAAAAATTGTAAGTCCCAACAATTATTTTTTTTATTTTATTATATAACTATAATTATTATTAACATAGTCTGTGATGTTACAATATTTAAGATTTGTCTAAAGAATCTCGTAAGTCTACCCTAGTTAGGACATTCCTAAGAGAGCTTCTATGTCGATCTTAAGAACTCTCTTAGGACCATCCTAAGTTTTGTCCTAAGATATCTCTTAAGTCATATCTTAGGACTATTCTTATGACACTTTCGATAGCATACCCGCTGATTTCTTTTCATATTCATGAAAATCAGGGGATCCCACCTTCAAAACGCAGCTTCGTATGCTGTCTATATCTTTTATTTGACATTTTCATATCTTGACTCAAAAAATTAAGACATCATTTAATGATATAATGTAATTCTTAAGGTTTTGCCAAAGGTCAAGATGTCCAAAAATTTATTTTTACAATAGCTCCAAAACTATGTGAGGTATAAGGTTAAAACTTTTACAGTTTATAAATGTATCATTGGTTAACAGATAGAAGGTATCACTTGAAAACAAATATTTAAAAAAAAATAGTTTTTGAGAAAAAAATTCAATTGGACGTGAATGGTCTCTGAAAGGGTGTTAATTAAAAGCATGACATGACCCCTATAAAATCCGCCATTTGCAATGTACTTTCGGTTTCAAATCTTAACATTTGGACAAAATAAACAGGGAAAACAACTTTCCAGAGGCTATCGAAGTCCAACTTGCCCAAATCTTAACATTTAGACAAAATAAACAGGGAAAACAACTTTCCAGAGGCTATCGAAGTCCAACTTGCCCTTCATTGATAAACATACTGTATATTGTCTCTGCAATGATGGCTTTCACTAAAAATACGGAATTAATTAGGTGTATTTTTTAAAAATATATGCATTTTTTAAAAAGAATTTTCTCGATTAATATTTTTTTTTAAATATTTGTTCTCAAATGATACTTTCTATCTGTTAATCAATGATATATTAATAAACTGTAAAAGTTTTAACTTTATAAACCACATAGTTTTGGAGCTATTGTAAAAATAAAATTTTGGACATGTTGACCTTTGGCAAAACCTTAAGGTTTTAATAAAGGTTCAAAATTTGACAAGTAACCGGGAACCACAGATAAGCCTTATTGAGACTTGTTCTTTGACATTTGGTTTTCAACATATCTTAAATGCTTGAAATGTACATCTAAGAAAAATAGATATTTCATGATATATTTTCTCTCTCAAATGTTGACAAAGTGTGACTATGCCATATAAAACGGGGAAGGAATTAGAAGAAAGTAATCAATTTTGTTATGCCTCTCCCCCTCCTCCGAATTTCATTTTTCAAAAAATAATTCCTTTGTAATTGTGTATTAGAATTAAAGATGCCATCCTCTGGACACAGTGTGCTATATAAATATCATCTGTTATCCTGTTAAGAATTTCGCTTCAAAGAGAAAATAATTAACTTCAAAATTTAACAAAAAAATATTTTCGAAGGTAAATTATTTTCATCCGGCGAATCTGAAATGATAGTTTTTTAGATTAACAAATGAAACTACTCATTAAGATTAAAGCGAAGATCGAGCATTACTTGGAACCAAATAAAAACTGTAGAACATTTATTGAGAAAACATTTTTTCCACTGATACTTTTAATAATAACAAAATTTCCATTCTATTGTAGCAGAAACTACATTTATGTACATACATTCACAAGAGAGCAATAACCTCACTGGGCAAATCCGTATCTTATAGGCATGTCTTTCCGCTAGAACATTCATATACAAGTGTATAAGGATGTTTCGTGGTCTTAATTTCAAATGAAATAAATTCTTAGCTTAATCTTGCAGTTATCCCAAATAGTAAAATGAGTAAATTGACAAATTACAACGAAATTTCTAAGGTTTACGACTCTGGGAGAAAGGCTTTTGATGGCCACGTTCTCAAAAGTATGATGGAAAACTTTACAGAAAAGAATGTTCAGGTAACAAATATATATATTCTTGCAACAATAAATTCATTTGTCTTTCACTAATTAACAATTTTCAATTGCCAATGAGTACATGACTAATTAATTTTAAAAAATATTATTGAAAATTGTTAATAAGTGAAAGACACATTTATTCACGAATATTTCCGTATTTTAAAAGTCTTTCATATTCCGTTGCAGTTACAGTCCTGAAATAAAAATTCATTATGTTATGTCTTGACCAATTTGAAACGCATTTAAAAAACAAAACGTTTGTAATGATATGCATATCTATCGTCATCTACATTTAGGAAATGGATATAATTGACATTGGCTCTGGAACAGGAAACTTTTCGGAATATTTTCTTCAATTTGAGCCGCGAAGTCTAACATTACTAGATGCCAGTGAAGGTATGCTTAACAAGGCTAAAGCAAAACTGACGTCGCCATCACCCAGAACTCAGTTGTCCTTCAAACAAGCAGTTCTACCGGAAATGCCTTACGAAGACAATTCATTTGACGCCGCTATGATCAACCATGTAAGCATATTTAATTATTTAGCCATTTTATTTTCTAGTATACCGTTTTAAATGAGTTTAAAGAAGATATTGTGTCTCTGCAAAATATTTAAGAATTAGAACTCTTTAATCTTATTTCGAAGGTCGTGCATCACTTGGAAAAAAATCCTGATGGAGAGTCCTATCCAGTGTTGCTTCAGACACTGAAGGAAGTTTATCGAATCCTCAAGCCAGGCGGTGTGTTGACCATCATTACTGATACGCCAGAAAATTTGGAAGGAAATTGGTTTGTTCATCTTGTACCAGAAACCCTGAAGAAATGGCATAAATTGTTACCCACTCATAAGCAAATGAAGAAAATGCTGAGGGACTCTGGATTTTCTTTGAAATCGGCTTTCAGATCATTAATGATGTCATACTTCCCTGTTTATGGTGACTTAGATGGACCACTTCATGAATCTTGGAGAAATTTGAATTCCTATTGGGATGTCTGCACGGAAGCAGAAATGCAGAACATGATTAAAAATGTGACACAAATGAAAGAAGAAGGCACTCTTCAAAAGTACTTTGAAACACATCATAAAATTGATAGCACTGGAGCTTATGAAATTTTTGTCGTTAAAAAAGAACTTTAGTGTTGTGTAATATTTATGAATATGGAAAAAAGAACAGGACTTTTTAAAATTGTTTTGGACTTCACGCTTACCATTTATATTTTTCATTTTCATTAATATGTAGTTCTGTATCTGCATAGGAAAAGTATCGTCTTAGTTTTTTTCTCACGAGCACTCACCAAGAAAAACATGTACTCTAATTAAAGTTATGCTGAATTCAAGAAGCTATGTCATTTTTAAGCAAGCAAAAATGCATAAATGGTTTGATCATCTATTTAATTTACTAAATTATGGTGCAATCTAAAAGGTGATTAAATTCGAATACATATATGTATCTGGTTGAGCCGAGAAATATAAAGAATGTCAAATTTAAAGAAAAAATTCTTATTATGGTTTACAAAAAAATGAATTACTAGATAGCTTGCTTCACTGAATTCTTTAACAATTGCAGACCGTTCACGGTAGCTCAGTCGGTACAGCGCTCGCTCCGTGATCGGGAGGTCGTGAGTTTGAATCTCGGCCGCGACAGACCTAAGTGAATAAAAAATGGGTAGCAACTGTTCCTTCGCCATGCGCTCGGCACTTTGAAGTGAAAGTTGCGGGTCCTTCGGATGAGACGCGGCAGGCGTTGGCACGATAAAGATCCCTCACTGCTCAATAGCCCTGAGTGCCGAGTAAAGGTCAAAATTTGAAGCCCTTCACCGGTATATGGTGACGTCTCTATATGATTGAAAAATTCTCGAATGGGACGTAAAACAACATACAATCAATTAACAATTGTAGGGATGTTTTGAGACAGGGAGTCCAAAAACCACCAGGGTGAACTGAGAGACCTTCACCTGACTAGGGGAGAGGCAGAGACCATGACCAAGAAGAGTGCTGAGTGGCCAAGTCTTGTGTTGACCTTATGCTCCACTGGGAGCGAGGAGGATAGGTAGGTAGGTAGTTTGAGACATTGTAGACAGTTTAGATGGTTTAAGTTTTTATTGGTGAGTAATTCTTATAAATATTGTGGTGTACATGAGGAAATTTCTTGGTATAAAAACTTTTATCAGTGTCATTCAATATTCCAATGTGAATGACCACATCAAGCGTTACGTTTGCTTATTGAGGTTTTTATTAACTTAAAGGCTCATTGAGCGTTTGACCAGTTGACTTTTTTGCTAAGAACGGCGCATTCGATATTGAACATATTCGGAATCTCGTATACATAATGCAAAAACACCGTTCAAAAATCGCTAAAATATCGAACGCCAATATTCTCTTGACTTTTAGTGAGTTTTGCTATATAATAATAATTTGATATTTTTCAGTGTATTTTATCATAGATTATTTAATAGCTATACGAGTATAATAATAATTTGATTTTTTGAGTGTTTTTTTTTCAACTATAGATTATTTATTAGCTATATAATAATAATTTGATATTTTTCTTCACTTTTCAATGACTAGTCCTAATTCCCTTGATATGCGTTTATTTTATGTACAACATAAAATTTCTTTGGAAATAATAAAAATATGTCATTCATATAAGATATGCAAATTAAGAAAATAAACCCAAGGGATTGCAGTTACTGATATGTAGCACTACAAATTGAAAACCTGATCTGAATTTAGCCCACAACTTCAAAAGTGTATATTACATGTAATTATAAATACATGTATATTTGGCACAAATATTACATGTACTTGGACAGTTTAATAATCCAGACAAGTTCTAGAAGGACAGATGGAATAAAAGATTATATAACGAATTGATTTAATTCTAAGGTATCAAAATTGATCAAATATATATACAATTGCAATCCATCGCAGCTCATCGCAGACAAGAACGCCGGGCCGTCCTCCTTTTCTGCGATTTTTTTTTTCGCAACCTGTCTGCTTTTCTACGACTTCACACTGCTTTTCCGCGATTGGTTTTTGCAGTCCAGAGGACCGGGCTGCTCTATACATATAATTTTAAGTTTTCGCGATTTTTAAATGGTAACGGTTAGCGCTTAGCATCAAACGGTTGCCGATGTTTACCTTTATTTTCACCAATGTTCTACTTGGTAGTGGTACCAGAGACATGAATGTTTTTTGTGTCTCTGGTGGTACCAACTCACAGTTGGATAAAAATTGAATAAATTTCGCAATTTACACTGGTGATAAGTTTTAGACGTTATGGAAATTGAATACAGAAACAAAAATCGTGGTAACAAATGCACATGTATTATATACGGAGCTCGCGTCGAACTGTGAAAATATGCATATATTTAGTATCTAGACCATCTTGTTTTTAATCTTTGTTTTATCCAGTGTTAAGTAATCAGTGGTCAACAGGTTTTACCTGGCTAAAGGAAGAAGTACATATATTGAAATAAGTCGCGGAAAAGCAAAAAATATAATTGCAGAAAAGCAGTATTACTCGTCGCGGTTCCAAAAGCAGTGCCGAATCGCGGAAAAGTGGAATTGCGGGACGCCGGTATCGAGTAACAGGGTGATTGATTCTTGTCCTCGAACAAAGTGTGCTACAATGACACATGATAGTTCCGGTTGATTGCGTTTAAATGACAGAGATTTTTTTTTTACAGTAAAGCTGTGGAGCCGGATGGATTCAAACCAAGCCTCTACAGAATCAGCGGTCTAACCATTTGAGCTTCATTAACTATGAGAAGAAAAATTGATAGAAATATGAAACACGTCCCAAACTTGTTTCTTTTCTTGTTTCTTTTTTTTTTTTTTAATTAAATTTATTTTTTTTATGAATTTCGAACTAAGGGCAGGGGTGCCCTAAAAATCCTTTTATAAAGTATTCCTTGAATGACAAGCTATCAAATTATTATTTAGGGAATAACCTGGCAGGCCTTGAAGGCTTCCTAGTATCATGTTGTAAATTTTGAATTTACTAGGGGGAGGTAAATGCAAAATTTACAACATGATAAGTTATCATGTTGTAAATTTTGCATTTACCTCCCCCTAGTAAATTCAAAATTTACAACATGATATTTGGCCAAAATCCATGCAAAAATCGGTGCTTTGAACAACGGGTAAAATGCTTTTAAAACCAACTTTAAAGGTTAATCTTTAAAATTCAACTGATCAATTTTTAAGTTTCAGATGTAAATTTGAAAAATTCAGACATAATTATCGGCCGCAGGGGCGACCGATCCAATTGTGGTTTTGTTACATGGGGAATTGAGACGTTATTTTTTTCATTGCTTCCTTGGAATAATTCTTTATTGATAACGTATATAAAAGTTATAAACATTTTTTTTTTTAAAAATTGCTTACTAAGTCTACATGGTTGATAATACATTTCAATTTGTTTTTCATTTCTAATCAGAATTTTTTTAATTCATGATTTTATAAAAAGTTGTTACACGACCTGCTCCTTAACAAGGGCGTGCGTAAGATATAAATGCAAAACGTATTAAATTTCCGGATTTGAAATACAGTGCCTAAAATAATAGAAGTGATTCTTTCTTGTAATGCAGTACGTACTTTAATTTTTTTCTTTTGACTCTTTCTTGTGGAAATAATCTAAAATGCTGAAATTAATATATTTTGCGGTTGACTTGATACTTTGCATCATGTTACCTTGTTAATAGTGCTTATACTGAAATGCAAATTTAAATTGTCTGGATATCCCCCCTCTAGGCCTCTCCTATAAGTCGCATGGCTAACGAAGCGCTCTGAAATAACATCGGGTTTGGCATACAATAAAAGCGCAACAGTTTTTTTTCAATGTTTGTAAACAAAGACTGAAAGAGGAAAAGTGTACCATTTAGCTGAATCCACTCAAGAAGCACGTGACCACCAGGTATAAACTAATTAACATTTGTAGATGACTTTTTGAGATGTAGGCCTAATTTAAAAAAAAAGAAGAAGCTGTAACAGCCGAATAAATTTCACGACGATGTGTAGTACTAGTAGGTTCTATACTTTGTAGGAGTCGACAGTTTTATTCATAAAGCAACGAAAACAATAGCCAGTGAGAGTAGCGAGCGAAGCGCTCGCTACGCCGGTGAAGCTCACTGGTTATTGTTTACGTTACTTTATTGATAAAACTGCCGACTCCTGTGATCGTACCAACACCAACGTATATCAGTATATAATGGATACTAGAGTACATGTATATTGGTACATACACGTCCCTGGTCGTACACCTTAAAAAATAGCCAACACGTAGTTAACTTTAGTCGATAATGTTTGTTCTAACTATAGGCCTAATTAAAATGCCTTTTAAAGTTAGGCGTGTTTGGTTTTGATGATGTCAGATTCATATATCCGCATGTAATTGTAGATAACAGTCTAATCAATGTTGACGTAATTGTAGGACAGTGTACTTATTCAGATCCTGTTGACATCTAATAATTCTTGAATCAGATAGTTAGCTGAATACAGCTTCTTTGCACAGGGGCTATGTGCTAACTCATGAGTGGCCCTGTGTCTTAATTTTTTCCTATATGTATAATACATGTAATATGTATATATATCAGTATATTATACACTGTATGCAAAGCTAACTTCCATCTTCATATTGAATAGATAACAGTTAAAAGTACAAAAGGAAATATTTATTCCATATCTTCCTTAGGATCTTAATTTTATTGCAGTAATATCAACAATTTTCCAAGAAAGTGTTGAAGCGTTTATGATTCCTCTTTTTTAAATACATGTACCAATTTTAATTTTTATTTCAGATAGAGAGAATGCAAATGAGCATCCAGCTATGAATGTAGAAGCATCTCCCGATTTTGGCAACCTCCCGATTGTCGTTTGGATCCATGTGTTGGAATATTTGACGCTCAAAGACAGATACAGCACCTCTCTGGTGTGTTCAAACATTTACAATGCATTTAATCACCCCACACTATGGCAGAAAGTAAAACTAGATGTAGGAGGAAACTCAGGGAAACACAAATACTTCCACTGTGTTAAAATACCCCAAAGAAATTTTCATCTCGTTCGTAGGTTTGCAAGAATGTTCCATGACGTTACCTTTTCTATTTGGGGACCATTACATATAAGTTTTGGAGAATGGAACACAGTGTTAGAAGAAAGCATCAATGATTTTAAATTGGGATATTTAACGTTGAACGTAGGTGGTTTGAGAATTATATCAAAGGGAGGAGAAAGGAAACCTCTGACTGAAAATATGAAGCCTATGGTAGACTTACTTAGAAATCAGACACATTTAAAGGCACTTGTCATAAATTCGTGGCCAGTTTTTGCCAAATCCTTAGAGAATCCAGATGAAAATATATTTCAAGCTGCTATTGAAAATGAAAAAATTAAAGATCTGAGAAAACTAAGCTTGTTCAAATGCGAGTCCACAGCTTGGTCTGAGCGTAGACCACATTTAATTTCTGAAGATTTGACACTGAAATTGGCAGATCACTTCAAGAATTTGACCCATTTGGCCCTGCGGTCGCCTATGATTACTTCAGACCTTATTAAAAGTCTTTCATGTAGGGGTAGAGAAAGGCTTCAACAATTACAAATAACAATAAATTTCATCCCTGAAAACGAATTCTTCAAAATGCCTGAAGTAAATGAATCAGTTTGGAAAAATTTCTCAAGTTACAACTCGAACGTGAAGGTGAAAGTTTTGGTTTTGTCAAGAGTACCACATTACAAACTAGAATGTTTCTTAAGGCCTGCTTGTCCTGTCTATGAAATAAAGTTTGGAGAATATATCAGAAGTGATAAGGAATTTATCGCTTACCTGGCAGATACTTTCAATTCGACACTGGATACATTTGAATACAACGAAGAGGATGGAGATTTTGAAAGAGAGCTAATCACTCTTGTTGAAAATTCAGACCAATTATGTAGGTTAAAATACCGCGGCAAAATCAACTGTCAAAATGTAATACATTTAGCGGAACTGAGGAAAAAGAAATGGGAATCGTTTCACTTTATTAGAAAGAACATTTATAAAAAGAATGTCGAGAAGGAACCGGAAATGGCCTATGACAGTGATCAGGTCATAGCGAAAAATAATGACGGAGTCTATGTCCTCGTGAATCTGGTGAAATTTCATGAACAGGTTTCTATTCTAGACAGTGAAGAAGAGGAATATAGGATGATTGAGAAAGTGTCAGAAAATTTGGGACGTCATTGGTTCCCTGACGTCATTGATCAATAGTCGATGTACAAATTTAATTTGTTTATACTGTAGGAAAGAGATTGAGCATCTTCACAATGTCAAGGTTTTGTGACATCGTTCTTCTTCACAAATTTCACAAAACCTTGACAATGTGAAGATGGGGATTGCTACATGTATGTTCAAGGTATATTTTAGCATAATGGCATTAAGAAATTGCATCGATCATTTTGATGACTAGAAATTGAAATAAAATTGAATTGATTGTATATGAATCAATATACGACTTTTATGGTAAGAAGTATTTAATATTTTTTATGATGATGACATGTAAAAAATAAAATGTGGTCAATCCTTATGTCTTATGTTGTCCATGACAAAAAATAGTCGTTTGATTATATCTATCTATATTTTGGCCCTTTCTTTTAGATATTGAATAATCACGACATGACCAGATGACGGGCAGATAGTTTATGATTGTCTGTACAATATAATATTAAGTTGTCTGATAATCATTCTAAAAGTATAACGACAACTATTATGTACGCCCCTTTTAAAAGGCTTATTAATGAATCTCGAGATTTCCTTTGAATTTAGAAACAAATACATAAAATTCAAAAGAAATATAGCAAGAGTTTGATTGTATTCCTTACTTTAAAAATGAGAATGATAAATCTTTTCCATCTCTTTCCCAAATTTCTAAAGGCCGGTAAGATTACACGCGGAACGTGTTCCTCGTGTGGACTATTTGTTGGCATGCAGTTATTTAAAAAACAAAACAATAAAAAATATAAGCCATATCTAGCTCGAAATGGAGACAACTTATTTTCGAGCCACATTTTAAGCCAGGACTCAAGCTAGTGTGTCTAAAAAAATATTTCGAGCTGTACCCCAAATCAATCTCTTTTTTCGAGCTAGAGTTGGAGCTGTACATGTAGCCAGAACCAACGTTCGTAACCTCTTATAGTCAGTGCTTCATACATGATTATAGACTGTCATGAATGCTATAAAGGGGTAGCATTGTGCACCGTGTTTTACGCTTCGACTTCGAGACGATATATATGTAATGGCCTTAAATGACCACTGCAATAATTAAAATCAAATATCAACTGCATGAAATAGATCAAAATATGATTTGTACCTAAAATAAATGCCTACAATAAATATTTTTCATGCTCATCACAACAGCTTTGAGCAGCTGTTGAGTGCTGCTTTAGCCTTTTGAAGGGAGATCTTTGTTGATGTCATTACCCAATGTTCATTTAGTTGCCAAATAGAGCAAATGATGTCAAATTATACAATTAATAAATTCTTTAAAAAAGATTTGGATTTCTCGTGATGACTGAAAGCGAAAGTAGAAATGTCATTTTTACTTTATAAACGAAGTCAAACGTTTCATGAGGTTTTCGAATACTATCTCTCGCTTTCTCTAACCCTTGTAATCACGGAGAGGAGTGCATCTTTCAAACACGTGTTTTAAAATCTCTGTAAACATCGGAACAAAAAAGCTTTCTTTTGTTTCTCGTTCAAATCACGCGAAATCTTAAAACTTAGAGAGATTTTATGACCGAGTAGTTTAAAAAACATCATATTGTAAATTTTGAACTTACTAGGTGGAAGTAAATGCAAAATTGAAATAAATTTTGCGTTTACCACCACCTAGTAAATTCAAAATTTACAACATGATAAAATGGCTACCCAAGCGAACCAAAAACGGATTTTGTGGAAAGGAGGTATATAAAGCGGTAGGCGGGAGATTGAGTATAAAACGGAGGTAGACTTTCGCCTTAAGCGGTAGAGTTAACATATATGGTACTTGCATTCCATGTGACAAATTTAATGATATACCATTAAGTCAAAATGATAAAATGTTTCCATGTTTGAGAAAATACAATTAGAAAAACATTTTTTCAAATATGAAGTCCCTGAAGGATGCAAGAATTTAATTATCTTTTTTTTCAATTAATGGTGCCATTCATCACACAGTGTGCATATTATACAAACTGAGTAACACGATTGAGCTAGTCTACCCTATATAACAAGAAATTAAAATACTAAAGTGAATCGGTGTGCCTATACTGCGTTTGCGTTATTTACTCAGAACACTCATGTGACTGTTTTTATTGTTTGCTGTAATATATTTTTCTACATTCTTTAGATCCACGAGTATGTTTTTAGGGGCACTACACACGTTAAAAAGACACTAAAAATAAATCTGTTAATCAAACAAGTGAACATCGTCGCAAACCACGGCCAAAATGTATGATCCTCTCCCATTCTGGCGGGTAGGAGAGAGCTATATGCGGACTCCGGACCGTGGCTTGAGACGATCAAGTGAACGAAATGACAGAAATTCGTTAAAAATATATTACACAATAGTTCACTATGTAATTGACTGTCTGAAATTACAATTACAGGTATAAAGTATATTATTCACTTGTTGTCCAAAGAGATCCTCGCATGTGAAATAATTTTATTAAACTACTGAATATCATCTGATGAAATCATTGATCCATTTCCGTATGTTATACAAAGGTAAGTAACTCGGGTGGTTATCACAGCTAAATATAGGTTTCTAAAAATACACATTATCGTGGAATGTAAACAAATGACCACATAATAAACCCTTGCGAGGAAAGAAGTAAGTTTTCTTTTAGTCATACAATTATATTTTACTTCATCATATAGTTTAGTTGCAGCACTTTGTCAGTAAATTATTCATCCCTAATGTTTGTACGTAGAATCTGTATGTTAATTACACATACAAGTTCTGACTGACTTTCTCGTTAAAAAAATGCTGTTAAAAATTGTGTCTTTCTTTCATCCATGTAATACTCTACAAATGTCTGAATTACATTATATATATATACGCTTTCTCATTAAATCCGTTCACGTAGATAATATTGAAAATGCTGTTTCATACTAGTCATTAGAATAGTCATTACACTCTGTAGTTCACCAGAATTGTTTTCTTCGAAGTCAGACAATCCGACATTGCTTCATATTGAAAATGTGCCAGAAAACTGTACTCATTGTTGTTTTGTTTTATTTCTGCAGACTTGAAACGATAATAAGAAATGATGAAAGGAAGCTCACCAGATCAAGGTGGACCTGACTTTAGTGACCTTCCCACAATTGTTTGGGTCAACATCTTGGACTACCTTGACCTAAATAATAGGTACCATGTTTCAGTCACCTGTTCAAGACTTAATGAAGCGTTTAACCATCCTACTTTATGGCGGAAAATGAAATTATTCGTACTGGGAAACAATGAAAACTATGGTTTTTATAACCAGGTGGTGATACCAGCCAAAAGCATCAATCTTGTCAAACATTTTGGAAAATATTTCCAAAATTTAACTTTTGTTATTAGTGGACATTTGGATCAAGACTTTGGTAATTGGAATGATCTCGTAGAGGAAGTTTCCAAAGAATGCAGACTGGAAACGTTAACACTGTACGCAGGAGTTTTAACGTCAATCCGTCATTTTGCAGGGAATCGATCCTGCAGTCGAAATTTGAAACCACTTGTAAATTTTGTGAAGAATGCATTTCGCTTGAAAAATCTGAACATTGTTTCCTGGCCTATGTTTCCTCGAAACTTGGAAAATCTTGATGAAAACATCTTCGAAGCAGCCATGTTAAACCCTAAGCTCAAAGACTTGGAACACATGAGTTTGTTTTGGTCTAACACTAATGTATGGACAGAAAGACAACCAATCCTGCTCTCTCCCAGAGAAACGGCGGACTTTGTCGGACATTTCAACAATCTGAAACATTTAGCTCTGCGTTCACCTATGATGGACGAGAATCTCTTGCAAGTTCTATCATCCAAACAGAGACAAACATTGAAACGTCTACAAATACTTGTCAACTACATACCAGACGATCCAGATTTCGCAATACCTGAAATTTCCGACAAGGCTTGGGAATGTTTTTGCTTGAAGAACGTTGGCGTAGAAGTGGAAATAACGGTTATGTCTCGAGTCCCTCTAGTTGAACTTTCAAATATATTAAAACCTTCTTGTCCAGTTTCTGTCACGAAATTTATGGCGTATTCTCGTTGTGACGAAAATGTCGTTCAATATGTTACTGAAAAGTACAAAAACACACTCCAATGCTTCGAGTCATATGGAGAAGACTCAACTTTTGAAAACGAGCTTGTAAGCATGGTAGAAAAGTCACCAAACCTTCTACAACTTCTATACCGTGGAAGGATCAGCTGCGAAAATGTAGAACGGTTGGCGGCGCTTCGATCAAATTCATGGATGACCTTCAATTTTCTAAAGGAGAACATATTTGTAAATAATACTGAGGATCCGTATGATGAAGATCAAGTGATTGCGAAAGGCCCGGATGGAAAATATGTCCTTGTGGCTATGCTGAGGTTTCATCAAAGAGAACAAATGCAAAGTGAGCACGATATTAGAAAACAAGAAATGATTGATACCGTGTCGAAGTATTTGGGATATAAATGGAGTCCCACGCCTAAGAAAATTCAACAGGGGGCACAAAATTGAAAATACAATGTACATGTATCATCAATTTATTTAGGGGTCGTATGGGGGCTGTATTCTGCCCCATTTCCAATGGTAAAACGTACGTGTTTTTCCCGATTTCATAAATGAACATTCACAAAAGACAATCGAAACAAACAAATATGGTAAAAAAAAATATCCGAACTCAGTAAAAAGTATATCAGGAATGGTGTTAAAATATGCTCCAAAAACTGATTTACTGAATTTAAAATAAGTCAATATTCAATAAATACCTTGCAAATGAAAAAAAAAAAACCCTGTAATTTGAATTTATGTAGAAAAATGTTAGATATGATATTTTCCCAATATCAACCAAATATCACTGTTTTTCCCAAGTAGAAAGGCCCAGGCCCTTGATTTCAAACCCCCTGATAATATTTAATATAGGAGTATAAAATTTGCACATGCTGTTATAAATAAGGCATTTTATTTAAGTATATACATTTATATGCTATGTGATATGCAATTCAAATTGCTTTCTGATTGTAAAGCAGTATTTGTTATTTTTATTAAAAAGAAATAGAGTCTGGACCCATTTTTTATGAAAATTGAAAAATTCTGAAATAAAGATAGGCTTCAACAAATTTCGTTTATCTAAAATCACACTGACACACGCAAGATACATGTACAGAAATACTGCATATCGCAGAGATTATACGCGCCTCCGCTAGCTTTGGAATGAATTTGAATCATACGTGAAGCGCTTTTCACCCCTTTTTACATACCTTAGAAACATACGTGTAACTGAAAAATAAATTATTTATCAATAAATAATTCAATGAAATAAGGGAAGCAAATGTGTATAAAATGATACTGACAACACAATTTGTGAAAAAAAATGTATAAATCTTCTATGAAATTTTCGAATTGAGAAATATCTTGTGTCAGAGCGGGGGGTTGTCCTCGCCTTGAATTGTACGCCTCCAATATTTTATAAATAATTTGTCTCTTTTTCTTAAGACGCAAGAAAATCACTGTCAAATTTACCAAAAGCATTGTCGGAAACAGAGTTGAATAGGAGTAAAACTGTTTAAATTGAAGAGTGAAAAAAAGTAAATAAATATTTTTTTTTAATTCTGCAGGGGTTACTGTTTAATGAATATGTATTAAATTTTGTCACTGATAAACGTAAAGGTTAATAGCTAAAGTTATTAAAGTTTCAATAATATAAACAATTTAATGCCATAGGATTTTACTCTTTTGAATTATAGAATACATACACATTCATTTATTCTTGGGGCATGTTGAGGATACAGCGGGGTAGTGGACATTTAATATAATTTATGTACCGGTACGTATACAAAGGAGATGGGTGAACAAGGCGCGCAGAATGCCTATAGCTTCAGATACATAAAAATCAAAATCAATTTGTGAATATAGTATTTAGAGTAAAGTTCTCATCATTGAAATTTATGATGTTATGATAAACAAAATTTTTCTGAGAAAAATTTTCTCGGCAAAAATTGCTCTGTTATTAAAAAAATAATGTGGTATTCGTGGGGTTCGAACCCTAGCAATAAAAATCCTGAGTATCATTTTCTTTTGAGACTAACACGCTAACCACTACGCTACACAGCTCTTGATGATGGTGGCATTTAAATCATGTTTGCGATATGACCCTTGACTGAATGGACTTCAAGTATTTCTAGGAAAGATGCGAATATTGTGTCATAAAGGTGTATTTTAAAGGTAGAGTGGGTCTTTGCTCCATGTTTTTGTTAACCAAAAAATGTATATTTTTACGCAAACTTTGAGAATATACTTTGAAAAATATGGAGCGAAGACCCACTCATATCGAAAATATGTGTTATAATATGAGAAAATGATACTTTTTGCCCTCTTTAGTGTGAGTATGCTATTTCATAAGCAAATAATTTCAAGCTTTGAGAGATTTTTGCAAATTGTGGAGATTTTACATAAAGTATACTTTAATGTTAGATGAAACATCAAATAAAATTTTGTTAGAATTGAAATTTAATTTTCACCTTCATGTTTGTCGCACTGTAGGCATTGCGCTCGCCTTATTCGCCCATCTTCTTTCAACTTTTTCCATTCACCATTTTTCATTCACGAAATTCAATGTTCTCAAACAAATAGCACATAGTGAAATTTGGATTCGAATTTGTGCACTTCTCATCACTTATGGGGGTAAAGAAAGCTATAATACCCTAAGAATGATATACGATTTTATTTGAGAACTGAGAAAATATTGCTGAAAATAAAAACTTGAAGTTGCGTAAATTATTTTTTACTTGTCACATTTTTGTCTTTTGACAAGTAACGCTTTGGACGATAAAATTACGACTGTGAGTGTCAGGAATCATAAACTACATGTATAAATCAAGATAAAAGAAAATCTACTTTTCCAAACATTATGTCATTGAAGGATTTAGAAATTAGAAAAAAGGGGTAGATCATAGAAGAAAAAAGAAAAAAAAACAAGATATGTTTGTGAAACACTGATGCCCCCATATGGCAGCTTATGGTGAAGTTTTGAGTGTCTTAAATGCAATTAAGTCAAACTCCAGGTCAAGAAATTAAAAAAATGTTGGTACCCAAAGAAGGTCTTGTCTCGAGGATTATACCTGTGAAATATGAAAGCCCTAGTACAAACCGTTGAAAAGTTATGGCGAAGGTTATTTTTTTTTTAAAGTAAGTAAAACGGCAAGGTCAAATAGTGCCCAAGGGAAGTTCTTGTCACAACTGATACACATCATCGTGAAATGTGAAAGCCTTAGAACCAAACGTTCAAATGTTATGGCCAATTTTAAATTTTTTTTAAAGTAGGTCAAACTCCAAGGTCAAGGTCAATGCCGAAACTGTCGAAATCCAAAGGAAGGTCTTGTCACAAGGAATATACATGTGAAGTATGAAAGCCCTAACACCAACTGTTCAAAAGTTATGGCCAAGGTTAAAGTTTTTCAAAAGCAGGTCAAACTTCAAGGTTAAGGTCAAAGGGTCCAGGTTGTTTGTATCTTAAGGAAGGTCTTGGCACAAGGAATGCATATGAGAAGTATGAAAGCCCTAATGCCAACTGTTCAAAAGTTATGGCCAAGGTTAAAGTTTTTCAAAAGTAGGTCAAACTCCAAGGTCAAGGTCAAAGGGTCAAAGTTGTTGGTATCTAAATAAAAAATCTTCTCACAAGGAATGCATATGTGAAGTATGAAAATTCTAGCACTAACTGTTCAAAACTTATGGCCAATGTTAATTTTCTTCAAAATTGAAGTAGGTCAAACTCCAATGTCAAAAGGTCAAAGTTGTTAGTATGCAAAGAAAGGTCTTGTCACAAGAAGTACACATGCGAAGTATGAAAGACCTAGCTCAAACTGTTCAAAAGTTATGGCCAAGGTTATAGTTTTTTTCAACAGAAGTTCAAACTCCAAGTTTAAGGTAAAGGGTCAAAGATGTTGGTATCCAAAGGAAGGACTTCTCACAAGGAATACGCATGTAAAGTTTGAAAGCCCAAGCTCCAAGTGTTCAAAAGTTATGGCCAAGGTTAAAGTCTCAAAAAATTTTGCAAAAGTGGGTCAAACTCAAAGGTCAAAGTCAAAAGGTCAAGTATATGATGGTATCCAAAGAAAGGTCTTGTCACAAGGATATGAAATATGAAAGCCATAGCTCCAACCAATCAAAAGTTATGGGCAAGGTTAAAGTTTTTGCGGACAGACAGATGGACGGACAGGGCAAAAACTATATACAGTGTATGCCCCCGAATCTTCGATTACGGGGGCATAAAAACATGAAAATGACTTCGTCTTGATAACAAAGGGGAACAAGGCGATGTAATAGGTAAAGGTAACGGCGGGAGGCAATGGCTGTATATGATATTATAACTCTCCATTAATTTACCATTTAATTATATATAGCTGTTGATTTATAGCTCACTGGTCTGAAAAAAAGATTCGATGCATTAAAAAGTGCTCACTTTACACCAGCTTTTGGTCTTGTGAATATTGTTCTCTTTGGGTATTTAAATCATTCATTTGTATTAATATATTGACATTTAAAAAAAAAAACCAAGCAATTATTGCACTATATTTATATATTTTCACAACCACACAACAAATATGTGCACAGCACAATGTATTCAAAATGTGACAACAGTATTAAAAGACAACAGTATTAAAATACATGGTCCATAGGTTTCTTTTACACACACATCTTGGTGTAACTTTTACTTGTAAGAAAAGGAAATTGTTTGTCAACTTTTAAGAGCTATCTTTTTTTTTTCAGCTATCACTGTACTTGAGGCCTTCTTGTTACGATCTGAAATTAGCAATGACAATAATGAACCAGTACTTATCATCAAGATTGTGGAATAGTTAACTTGAAGAATAATAAGGCATTTATTGAATTATTGTATTTTAAAACAGATACCAGTAACCCAAGTCCATTCTTTACAAGTTGTATCACATTACAAATATTAAACTTTCTGTCAGATAAAATAACAAACTAATTCAGAGAATTTGAGTCCCCCCGCTTAAATAAAAAAGAAGAGGGTGGAAGAAATGGGAAAAAAAATTGCAGATGGAGAAAAGGTCAACCGTGACCTTTCAGATTTTGTCCTTAATGCCACATAATTTAAGTTTAGATTTTCATCTTAACTTGCTTGAAAATTGGAGCAGAGTTTATTTTTATTTTCTATTACTGTAAATATCTACATTACGATCTTCTTATATATTCAAAATTTTCACATTGTAAATGCCAATATGGATATGTAAATTTGATTGCTTGTTTTTAAAAATGTGTACAGAAGATTCATTTTATATAAAATATTTATCACACCGTGAAAACGTTTGTACGCGCCATACATAACTGCTTGTATGAAACTGGGCGCGGATCCAAATAATTTGTGCATATAGGTGCTTTACGTGTTATTCACACTTCTTTTTATTCTAAAACATGTGATGGTTTTGAAAGTAATGAATTTTCTATCTCATGGTTACGAAAATTCTTTTTGTTTTCTAACTGCCTTTTACATTCTTTCAGGTGATCTTTGTCTTATGTCCTTTTTAGTTTTCGCTTCACATGTATGTTTGCTATAATTTCTTTGGCTTTCTTTCTTCTGCCTTACTCGACACAGCTTTTGGTAAACCCTTTTTTCAACTTCTTTCTTTCCACTTGCGGCAGTGGGAATAAAAATGGCTCATCCATAGATTGGCACCTTTTCCGTCCATTTTCTTCGCAGCAAACTGATAGAGTCTAGTCTTGAATGTTCCTTTGGAGATAGTTACTAGAATTCAGTTCAATAGCTTTGCAAACCATTCGGTACATTTGTCACTAGATTTTTGAATTGTGACCATAAACAAGAAAAGTTCTACAGCTGGTCCTTTTGTTAAGTTTGATATATGAATATTCCTTGTTGATATATGAATATTCATTCGAATGTTTTCCTTTAAAGAATCATATGTGATGTTTAAGTCTTTGCAGTACTTTTCTAATCCTGTCACATTAGCTTGAATAACTTCCAAAAGCTATACACAAACAAAAGTGTCAAAATTTATCTCTTCTGAAGCGTGATTGAAAGCTCATGCATCCTCTTTTTGAATACCCCATTAACGCTGTTTTTTCCCTCAAGAAGCTGCTTTTCTGATTGCTCTGAATTTTCAATCTTTGTATTTGGCTTTGGAAATAAGAAAACCATTTTTATTCAAAAATTATTTAATGAAGTTGATAGAAATATTTTTTTAGGGATGCAAATTGTGAACCGTCGTAGTGCGAAACGTCTTTTGATGCAAAACTGCCATTGAATGCGAAATGCTTCGTTAACGTACATTTTGAAGACTTCCTTAGACCTTTGTAGATTTTGACAAAACATCACGACTCTTTTGAAATAAATAATTATCTTATCTCCTACCCATCAGAACAATGGAAAGTAAATTAAATTTAGGTGAACATGCATAATGTCTGTATCAGTGCTTACAAAATCAACAGGGCTAATGGAATATGTACTTCCATGTACATAACATTTGAAAGAAGTTGATAATGACGTTATACTGTACAGCAGGTTAAAATCGCGGTCGGAAAAGATCGCGATTTGTTCAATTTGCAGCAAATCGCGGTCGTTTGAATTCGCGGAAAGGAAAATTATACAAAAACTTTTTTCAGCACTGCAAATATTTCCCTTGCTATTGTGTCGATTTTGAACCCGATTAATATAACGAAACGTCGTATACTAATCCCGATTAAAGGACAAAATGTACGATTTACAATGTTACGCATTCAGATAAATTGTCTTCTTTCTCTAGTTTTTTCTTTCTTTTTATTAGATATTTATGAAATACGTACCTATTAGTCTATACTCAAGTGATTTATTCAAGCGATTTCAAGTCGTATTAAAATCTATTAACATTCATGTAAAAAAAAATCCCTTTGAGGGGGTGTTCGTTCATAGGTATGTTTTGAGTACACTGTATAGGGTAGTATTTACTGCAGTATATTTAAAACTTCTGAATCTAAATTGGTTGTCACTATCGATAGTCAAAATGTTGAACTCTTTATAAAATTGAATTAATAGTGTTGATTTTAATACGAAAGTGCCTTGATTAAAGATCGGGTTTTTATACGTTATCACATCGCACCTCTACTAGATGGCAGAATTAAATGTTAATTATAGCCGTTTGTTTATCAAATAAGCTTTTAAAACACCAACAACTACGTATTAGTGATTGATCCGTACACCCGCATATTAGGAAGAGGGTCTTATTACATGTATCTCTGCTTTTATGTTTGCAAGGAAACACAGATAGAGTTAACGAATCTAATCACAGATATCGATAATATTCAATTTATCCTTATTAATTTTTGAAGATTTATTCACTGTATGTTGATTTCGCGGAATTGTTATTTCCGCGAATATTAACTCCGCGAGTTAATTTCCTGCTGTACAGTATTGGAGGTTGTTTAAATTAAGAATGAAGTTATAAAGTAAACAAATGAATGAAAATGATAATACTGGAAAGCTTTCACATGAATGTGTAGGTAATAGGACTAGTCCAATTAACTAAGAAGACTTAGCAAATCTGTTGCTTATATGCCAACATACGATATATTATATATAAACTGATATTTTTTAAATATAATATAATAAATATTTTTAAATAAGTATTCCTTTTATATCACAAATGTAATAAGTTTCACTATAAACCCTGAAGAATGCTGAATCACACCGGAAACAGTTATGTCACACGCCGGAAACAGTTATGTCACCCGACGGTAGCTCATCCTTGCCAAGTGACGCGGAGTACACGAAGCAAAACAGGGACAGGGAACCAGGCTAACCCGACGGAAACAGTTATAACACCCTCTCGATCACTTTCACGTGTTTTTATGTTACGCATTTGTAGCTCGGGTTCGAGATGTAATAACGTTAGTTGCTAAGGGTGCAAAACACAGTTTTATGTATGACGTTATCATGACGTTACTAAATGAGGGACATGCTAAAGTGACCCCCATAAAGAAATAATATGAAGACTTGCTACATATACATCTATATATCAATAGAAAGATAAAATTGTGAATTTTATAAATATATAAATATATAGCATTTATCACTTACTAATAAGGTGTACTTGACACATGAAACATGGGGGAAATAGGGAAGTTTATGCATCTAATTGTAGTACACCTATGCATTTTTAGCTCCCTTGATCACAAACAGTGCATAAATCAGAAAATATAAGTGCTGTGCATTTAACAGAGCAAGTCCTTAGGTTTCTTTCTGTTATACTTTTAGGGTACATTTTCCAGCTTTTTAAAGAGCTACTTTACCTGCTACTCAAATCATGCAATTCTGCACATGTGAAAAATGGGTGATTTTAGAGTTATCTCCCACTATTAAAAAGTCACACAAAAAATAATTCTCAAAAAATATTTGTATACTTTTTTCATTTAATCTTAAGATAAGACTCTACTTTATGCAAATAAAAATAAAAAAGCTGCAATTTTCATGTACACTGCATAAAAATAGCAGGGAAATCCCTGCCCATCATGCTTTTCTCTCAGGAAAACCCCTGGATTTTATACGAAACTGTGTTTAGCTACCTAAGCAAATGTAAACAACGGAGCGTAATTCTAACGTCATCAAAGCATATTGGATTATTTATCTAAACACACAATTTTAGACGATTTTTTAATTTTAAAAATGTTATAATATGTTGACGGTGCAACCGTTAGGGCGAGCGCAGATACCTTTCAGTTTTAATTTAGATCGGGCTCGTCAAACAGCACGTGACATTTGCTACGTCTAGACTCTGACGTCATATGACGTCGTATGTATGTTGCATTACCAAAACGAAGTCTGAACAGTGCTAATTTTAATCAATCACGTTTGATTTATATGCTTTATATCCATTATATCAAGGTGATTTTATTTTTGGTCGAATTTTTGTTGCTACCGCGAGAACGTTGTTTGCGGCGAGATGCAATTCGCTAAGCATTATGGGACCACAGGTAACTGCGGAAAAAAATTCATTTGGATCAATCTGTAAAGTCCGAATTTTCTCTTCGCCCAGGTGTTGCTTTAAGAGCTCGCAGTGACGAGCGGCGCTTCGCGCCGCTCGCTGCGCTCGCTATAACATATACCACATGGCTTCTCGGATGACTATGCCTTCGGCATCAGGTGACATAACACTCCAGGACTTTCCTGTCACCTTGGGGCAAACATTCTGGTATGTCACCCTCGAAGCCATGTGATATATGTATAATATAAACATGTTAAAGCTCGAGAACAACACCTATTCAATAGAACATTCCAAGGTTTCCTCGTGACATTTGACGCGAAATGATCGTGTCAGCCTTACGTAGAGGATAAATGGACTGATCCATGAAAAAAGATTACACGGACTTGCCCGTATAGGGAATGGCATGGAATAAACAGTCGCATGCAATAAACCTAAAGGAAATAAAAACATTAATATTTTGCATCATTTATATGATTTTATCTTTAGCTAACTGACTGTTGTTGTTAAAACGCAGGTAACAAATTCAAATGTAAATCTGTTTTCACAAAATTTAGCTGGCAAGGTTTCAACCCTTAGTTTCGCACCATGGAAAAATTTGTCCTAAACCAGATTCAGTAACGCTTTGGCAATGACCATGAAAAAATGTCCATTATTTTTCACACCTAATAATTATGAAAACATTTTTGGTAGTTTTCCGAAACATCAACTCTTCATGGGAAAAATCCCACTGTGGGACGTGGAGACCGGTCCTTCGGATGAGACCGTATAAACCGAGGTTTCCGTGTCACAGTAGGTGCTGGCACGAAAAAGATCCCTCACTGCTCAATGGCCCTAAGTGCCGAGTATAGGTAAAAAATTTGTAGCCCTCCACCGGCAAGTGGTGGCGTCTCCATATGAGTGAAGAATTCTCGAGAGGGACGTTAAACAACATACAATCAACAATCATTGGGGGGGGGGGGTGTCGGATGAAAGATGTTATTGAATATCAAACGCTTACAGAGCAATTCGGTCCTCGAAACAATACAATACGAAATAAATGTACGTCAATAAAGAACGTAATTCACAAAACAGATTAAAGGCATCAATGAAACTTCTGAATGAATGATTTGCATTTGAAATCATAAAGCGGCTGTATTAAAGGTAGAAGTTATGATGACGTACGTAGAAAATGGCAATTTTAAATTCTTTAGACTATAATGGGATTTTTTAAAATTTCTTTCATAAGCAGAAGACAGAAAATATTATATTTTTCTTACAAAACAATATATTTCCAACGTATAATTATATAATTTGAAAAAAAGGAAAGCAACAAAGGTTATAAGGTTTCACAGCAATAGAATTTTGTAACATAATTTTTGTGACAATGAGACATTACAAATTTTGCATTCCATTTGCACCAATCTAGTAACTGCTTTTATTAATACAGTGTTTTAATACAGTATTTTTCATACTCGTATATTACTTCTGCGATATGATTTTATGAAATACATGTATATAGGCTAAGGTTATATTTTGTCTGATAAAGATACAATTTTATGTTTATACCTTCAATTTGTGACACGAGTTTCTTGATACTTTCATGTTTCAAAATATTTTATAATGATATATTTTATAGTGAATTTTTTACCCTTTTACCTTTCTTCTTTGAAATAAAACACTCTGCAGTATATAAGCACTTTTGAAAATAATGTTTTTGTTTGTGACAAGAAAATTTAGAACTGGCACAACTTTTAACTATTAACTATTATTTCATTTGATGTTGACTGTTGAGAATTGTACTATTTACATCTCATCCAAAGGATTGTCAAGTGGCGAAACTGTTTTATCACTATCTGCGCCACTATCAGATTCACTTGTAAATAAGTCTAGATTCGGATTTCTGAAAGATTTTGGTAGGTTATAACTGTTACACGACACATTCGTCCCAGCATGATTTTCATCAAGGTGACAGATACCCGACTTTCGAAAATTTTCCATAAACAATCCATAAAAAAGGTCATTGCTGAAATAACACAAGAAACTAGTTTGAGTAATGCCGTTGATGTTGAGTGTTGACATTTAATTTTGACATCATCCCTTTCTCGTTTCCATACTGTTTTATGCTTAAATTTCATCTGGTCAAACATGCAAAATATTTCAAATCAATATACGTATGTAAAACACGTTTACATTTTGAAGCACTTTCTTCTTGTTAAAGCATAATAAATTGTAGAGGAAACAATATGTTAACACAATGGTGGCGGCCATTTTGAATATTGACGAGTCGACATAGGTCTCAGGAATTTGAATATTACACCAGAAGACCGGTAGATTGTGTCTACATGTACAACAAATACATGTACATCTATATAGTAGAAAACGCAGAAAAGATAAATATATCAGTTTTGATGCATTACTCGCCCGTATAAAATTGAGAAGTAATTTCATATTTCAACTTTGTTGTAAAACATATCTTCCCGCCATACTTCATCCTCTGAAGGTTGGTAATGTTAGGGCATTCAAGCGGCATCACAATATCACTTCAACGTTTGAATACATGTCAAAAAATACCGTAATAACTTTATTAAATCTCTTTTCATAAGCGGAATAAAACAAAGTTGAGGAAATTCGGAAAATTATCTCCTCTTTGCTTGGGCATTGCTAATTAATGAATTAAAACTTAAGCATGTTGTTGATGATTACTTTAAAGGTTATCAATTATTCGACTCAGGATAAAATTTCAAAAGTCAAGGTCATATAATATAGATATGGTGCTTATTCATTTGAAGCTTTGGTTTCAGAGTAATCCTTTTATATTGGTATGACATTAGCTACATGTAAACCTCAGTGCACTGAAGCAAAGATTTATATTAGTATATGAACATTTTAAATAAAGACTTTAACTTGTCTTAAAAGTTCTTCGTTTTAAATAATACACGAAGAATTTTTTTTTGAGGGGGGGGGGGGGAATTCAACAAAAATAATGCCCGATTCCTATGTCCGATAGAAATTCCATGTTGTACGTTAATCTGTAAAATAAGAAAGGCACTTATGAAGGAAAGTCATTCACATGAACGTTATTGAATATCATTTTGATAATTCTAATCAATTTCAAACATGCATTATCGAAATAGAAATTCTGTAACCGTTGGGTGAAAAATTCTGCAAAATCCGGAAAGAAAGCCAGAAAAGATTTTTAATACTTTATCATGCAAACCCTTTTTCCAACTTCTTACAGATTTCTTTAAAAAGTACTCACCTTTGGAGTGGGCGCCTTCTTCCCGGAGGGTTCTATAATTCAGATTGTCCTGTCCACCTCCAGTGTCCTTTACGTTTTCCCTACAAAAGACAGCAAAGAAAGTCTTTGTTTCTTTGTATAATTTTTCTTTCAAAAATTTTAGTAGCCTTGTTTTTAATTGTACTTGTATTCTTTGTACATCAGAAGTAATATGCATATAATTTGTTTGGCCTTTATACTGTAGTTAGAAAAAAACCTTACCTTGTCCCTGTGGAATACTGTTTACCTATAAGATTATAACTACAAATTCATTTATCATAATCAGCAAGAAGTAAAATTGTTCTTTCTAGAAAATTAGTTTTTCATGTAGTGAATAGTCAATTATCGTGATTCAAGAAAACAAAGGATCACAAAAGCAGTGAAAAATACATTCGTGATACGTTTTTTCATCAAGATAGACAAGTTCTCATTAAATCATGTTCAAGTCAAGAAAAATGTTGCTTAACCTATTCAAGCCTACAAACCTATGTCATCAATTCTTCTATGATGAATAAAAATAATGACTCCAGCAAGAATAAGCACCAGTAGAAAAATTCCGGTCACGGCACCAAATACTCCAGCACTGATTCCAGCACTAGCCTTACTAGACGTTGACATAGAATTGCCTAGGAATAAACAGTTTTTGTTTAAAATCGATTGACTAATATTTACAAAGAAATATCAAGGAAGTTTCCTCATATTATATGTTTTAGCTATGCATGTTCTGACAAAACAAAAGCATATTTTTTCATATACCTACCATACTATACAGTAACCAGATTCAAACATTCGATGTTATATTAAGTTTGTATTAGATACAGTATCAATACTGACTGAAAAAAACCCCACATGTAAAGCCTTACTTATACTTTTGATTGCAATAATTGCTTTAGACGAATTTCTGTCGTAATTTCCCCACTGAGATTGACTCTTTGCCCGACAATAACATGCAATATTGTGGTCTTTCCGTTGTGCAAATATTGTCAGAGCCGATCTGGAACCAGAGTGTTTGATGCCTCTGTCCTGCAGTTTGTTGTCACAATACCAAAGCCATGACACAGGAGGGTTTCCAGCAGACCGCAGTGAACAACTCAACTTGACTGGAGTATTCTCATCAACAAAATAAATGGATTTATCTATTTCTGGATTGCCATCAGGAAAAGCTAAAAATATTAAGTCATAGATAAAACTACATCATATGGAATTTCCATTAAGTTGTCGATTATTCAGTTTAACAAAAATCCTATCAAGTTTTAGCTCCCCCTTAAAAAACTTTATTCTATGTCAAGTTGCTTACAATATACGGTAAGAGAGACCGTATTGGATGAAGCTTCGTAGTTAAGAGGATAACTTTTGGCCATACAGTAACAAACTTTCCCGTTTAGATTTTCGTCAGCCTCAAGAACAAGTTTTGACGTAGCATTAAGGTTATAAATTCTTCTGTTATATAAATAGATTCTATCGCACTTCCATGACCATCGAATAGGAGGATTTCCCAAAGAATCGAGGGTACACATAAGGGTGATTTCCTCACCCGCCGACACAACTGTTTTGGAGGCATTCAAGAACGGCACCTCTCTTGGAGCATCTGCAAGAAATACTTGTTCTGAGAGATTCTATGATTTTTTAATTAAAGATTTTCTACATAGCTCCACAGAACGAAAAGCAAAAGACATATCAATTAATGACTTTTTGTATCGACTTCTGTCTGTTACGCATATATCAATTATATTTTTAACAGGTAACCATGTAAAACTTATTATATATTTTATACAATCACATGACTTACATTTCACATTAATCGTTTTGTGATTAGACATTTTGCTGTATGTTTCGTTTGCAGATCTCGGCCAGACTTTACAATAACAAGCCTCTCCGTTATACTTTCTGTCTGAACTAATCTTTAAGACAGATTCCTGTAATGTGCTGGTTGCATTTCTGGTCAAGTTGTCATTTCCACATATCCAAGACCATGTGACTGAAGTGGAATTTGGGGACGAGTGGACAGTACATTTCAGAGTTATTGGTTGCCCCTCTGTTACGTTGTTAGCACTCATTTGCAGCCATGGTGCTGCTATTGTGTTCACTTTAAAAGAGGTTTGCAGTTAAGGGTATTCTTTGTTACTAACTTAATGAATGTTTTATCAATGCTTGTTGAAATCATGAAAAATAAGCTTTGCATGCATAATTCTGTATCTTACACAGGAAATTGATTGGGAAAGCAAGTATTCTAATATCTGACTGAAACTTACCAATTGACGTTCCACTTATAATTCCAGATAACAACACAAATAGGAAATACTGCAACATCATATTTAGAAATCGAAAATTCAACTGCAGTATATGAGGGGCGTCGTTTCTGTTTTTATTAAAACTGAGTCTTACTTTCGTGGCAAGCACCTTTAACTTCTAATTAGTTTTACTGATATGATGTGGCTTTAATCTCCAGCGACTGCATACTATCAAAATGTACTTAACAACAAGTACTTATTATGAATATTAAACATGTATTACAATTTATATGACTAGCATATCTGTTACTTCTATTACAGGACCAAGTACTGTATAAATATAGGTAAATAGATGAGATGTAGACACTGACCGATATATTTTAATTCGTTAAGATGCTGGAGTTTGGGAACGGGCAATTAAATATGTGTGAAAACAGTTTTATATACCTTTGAATCATTTAGATCAAGTAAACAATAAGTATTTAACAACTCTCAGTTTCCTTTATTTCTATAAGTCAAACGGCTCATTAAAATAGCAAATACAATATATTATTAAAGAAAGTACAGATACAAAGACAGTTAACGAAAAAAAATTTACGAATGAAGAGAGTCTTACTTGCGTCATTTTTTCTTAACAATGTTGCAGCACTCACAAATTTCCCGGAGCCTTAAAGATCGTTAACATTATGAGTTTTAAGTATTTGAACTAATTTAAGACACTCAATTGGTGTAACGTCTTCAAAAATTTCCTTCATAAGTTGTTAAAGGGCATTTCAATCTGAAATGGAACTCGTCTTCAATATCATTGACGTTACAAAAAAAAATTCAGTTTAATTTATCTTTAAAATTGATCAAAGGATCTAGATATTTAAATTCATTAACAATTTCTAATTCTACATTGTTATAAGACCATGATTCATTGTTACAGTTAGTTCATCACCGTTTATAACGAATATACTAGTATACATACTAAATGTACCTCATATACCTATTTCACACATTAAAATTTGTCACACTGGAATAAATTCCTTCGTGATACTGAATGGTGAATTCGAGGAATTAACTCTGGGAGTGCTGCAACTGCCAATCGGCTTCTACAGGATTATCTAATTGGAAAAATGGAAACAAAGTCCGATTTAACACAAATAGATCTTTATTGATAGAGCTCTCGGTAGAAAGTCCTTTATAAACATGAGAACATACAATTAAAACAAAACATTGACAAATCAATCACGGAATCTAGTCTGAGAACGATGTAATTAGCATGTATAAGTAGGTATATAATGCATAACGCTTACTATAATAAATTCCATTAGATTTGATAAACTGAAATATTAAAATAAAACACACTAATTTTACCGTTGTGAGAAACCTTGTTTATATTTGATCGAGCTTAACTAACTTCTCAGACTAGAGAGCTCCGTTTAAATTAAGGCGGTACAATTCAATTCGTACAAAATATCATTCAGTTAATTCGTTTAAAAGAATTTAGAACAAAACCAAAAATAAAGATATCAAGATATTTCAAAGTTAATATAAAAATAATTCAACATAACATTACGTAATAAAGGTAACCATTACGTAATAAAGGTAACATTATTCTACAGCTACAATGTTAAGTGAAATTTATGAACTTCACACTCTAATTATTTAAAACAAAAAATAAAAAGAGCTATCAAAAGTATAAAGAAAAATCAGAATCAAAACTTTACTGATTATGAGAGAAGAAAAAAAAAACTTTTTAATTTGATAAATATTGTCAAAAAGTAATTTAAGCTTACCTAATTGGAAAAATGGAAACAAAGTCCGATTTAACACAAATAGATCTTTATTGATAGAGCTCTCGGTAGAAAGTGAATTTCTTAGATTCACTTTTCACCGAGGCACAGTACCGGACTTGTTTCATTAACCAATCAGGTAGCTTGTTATAAAAGAGTTAGGCCAATTTCGGCAATTCTTCTTTGATGTAGTTGACACTGATTACTCGGATTAACAAAAAGTGAAAGGTGTGAGGAGTCAATTACCTGTATTTCCGTAGAAGAGTTTCATAACAAAGGAAAAATTATGTTTAGCCGAAAGCATGTAAATAAATTTATCGGAGCGAAATTTCAAAGTGTCAAACTAATTCCGAAAAGAATTTATTTCCAAAGAAGCCGAAAAAGGAAAGAATTTACTTATTTATCTAAGAGATGTCATGAATGTTTGATCTCCAATAAGAAGTTAATTGATTACAAAATAGGTGAAAATTGACTTTGAACCTAAGTGTTATTTGCCAAATTACAATAAAAATAGGAGTAAATATGGACAAAAGAAATAAAAATTACTAGCCTGTAATCTGGAAATTTGACTTAAAATCAATATTCAAAAATAAAGTTCCATTTTGAAAATAACAAAAGAAATCCATGAATTAAAATTCATATGATATAAACCTGTTACATTAAAAGTTTAAAATTTATCAATTTAAACTTATCTATAACAATCTCCCCCCTTGCCAAAAGAAGTTTTGTTCCACCAAAGCAAAAGAAAGTGAATTTTACTGACAACATATAATAATATATACAAACTTACAATTAAAGCAGGATATCATATGAAACAATATGCACACAGAACACAAAAATATAAAGAAATATACAAATATATGCAAATACAGTAGTCGGAGAACATCACTAAATGAACACATTGTGGAAAATACTCAGAAAGTGATTTTTTTTTTAATACATATATCTATTTCTTATTATAGATACATACATATAAAGCAAAATACAAATTAAACAATTACGTGACCAAATTGATAATGGGAAAAAAAGTCTATATACAAGTAGGATAACATATTTACAGGCGCGCATATATAAGAAATAGCTGTTTTGTTATTTTTTTTAATAATGAAATATGTTCAACAATGGCAGTCAGATACCTAGAAATAACACTGATGCTATTTATTCAATTCACATGTAGGCAAATAAATGTGACAATGACAATGAAGCTCAATCTAACAAATTCAAAGTCAACATTGACATTTATGGGAAATGTTCTTTAAAATTTACATCATCAACAATAAAGGAACCAAAATGTGGTAATGGTTGATATAACCCATGATGAGAAATTAAAATGTGGACATCAAAAGGTTGTTCTGTAATTCTTTTTGCTTTATAAGCAGTATAAAAATTTAGTTTTATTTCTGGCTTAACATTGATTGTTCTAGTACCTTTCAAATTTGTAACACAAAAATCAGTTCAGTCAATATGCATCTTTGATGAAAATAAAGAAAAATTCACAGAGATATCATGAATTTGAGAAGGTGGAACAATTTTCCAAAAAGATGGGCATAATGGCAATGTTAAAACAGGGATAAGGACACATTCACCACCTGTTGTAATTTCAAAAATAACCTGAGTACATTTTAATTTTCTTTTCGAAAACCAGAAATATGCAGAAAGAAAAAATAAAATGAATATCACAATAGGTGATAATAAAACAGATGCATGATTCCATGAAAAATCTTGTAACAATAATTCAAAATCAGAATATGAGGAGGTAGTTGATTGGACAGGGTTGTAAATGAATGAGGGAAGTTCAGACTCTGATTTGACCTTATGTGTTTGTTGTAAAACAGCAATAATGGCTAGTAATTTTCGAACTTTAAAAAATGTAAAAATAACACCAAAAATAGCTAATAGTGCAAGTCCAATAGCAACAAGGTCTAAAATGTCATTAACGTTAGGCCAAGAAGAGTTAATTTTGATGTTGCCTTCAAGTAAGGGTTCTGCTAGAGAGTTGAAAACTACTTGATCTTTCTTAGCAACTTGAACCATTTTTGTTAAATTTAGATGAGCTTTTTGATCTGCAGCCAAAAATTGATTGTAAGAATGAGTATACATTTTGAATTCTGGTAGATTGACTTGAATAGGCTCTAAGAACGTAGTGTCACCTAAAATGGATTTTAATTTTGAAGCAGTGAAAAATTCCTGAAGAAGTGCCAAGTTTACAGGATGTGCTATGGTAATATTATCTAAAGATTTATGACAATTTCCAAGTTTTGGGGAATAAAACAGATCTTTGGTAGTTAAAGTACACCTGCATGGGACATGCAAAATACAAAATTTACACCCTGGTAAGATTTCTTGCTTGTTCGGACAATTCATGTCGATATTCCAACTATTATAAGCCAAAACAGAAGTACTTGAGAGTTCAATAATTTCAGATTTCAATACATCTTGCAAAAATCTAAAACTGCAAAAGGTTTGGATCCACTTTTTATTGTTTGCAAAAAGACCAATAATGCAAGATGGTGATGTTACTGGAGTGAGTGCTTTGTTAAGTGTACAATCTATGTAGGAGTCATGTTGGCATGATTCAATTTCTGCAACAGTAAATGTGGTGTAATATTGTTGATGTGAGGTAACAGCAAAATATGTAGGTAAATTTAGGAGATTGGTTGCATGAGATGATGTAGAATTAATTGGCACAGGGTAAGAGATGACTTTATAAAGATTCATTGGTTGTCTCTGTGATGTGAGTGGAAATTTGACTGTGATGTATAATGTATTTTTGTGTCTGGCATAAAGAAATTTTGCATTTTGGTAGTACCAATTCGATTGTTTCTGAGTCAAATAGAAGGTGGGTTCTTTTCGAGAAAGAATCTTTTGAATTTCAGAAATGGAATGATGGAAAGTTTGTCTTGAAATGAGAAATGGGGTCAACTTTCCTTGAATTAAAGCCAAAATTGATGAATGAAGCTGATCAAAATTTGCACGGAGTTGGCTTGAAAGGTCAATTTGATTGATCAGAATTTCTGTGGTGTTTTCAATAACAATTTGGAGATGTTGAAGGTCAAGGAAAAATGTTCTGGATAATCTGGATATAGCTTTAAAATTATAGGTAATGCCAGACTGAAGATTGTCCATTCTTTTGTTTGAAGTGACCATAAAAGATGACATATGTTTGTTGTGTTGTTTTAAAGCATTTATAATATTCCTGGAAGTTTGAGTAAGGGAATTTATATGTGATGCTAAGATGTTGACATCATCCATTGTTGCAGTTCCGAATAAACTTTTAGAAAGAGATCCAACAAAGGGTAGCAGTGCACGATGTTGCCTTTTAGGTTGTTTTTTGTGGAATGGAATGACAGATTTAAAGAAATGTAAAGTTCTGTTGACATGAGCATAGGTTTCAATTTGAATTTGATTGATTTGAGTCAACAAAGACCTGAAAAAGTTACAATTTTGATTAGAACAAGCTTGCTTATTTACTGAAAAACCTTTTGGAGATGGTATCTGTGCTGGAATTGGTATTTTGTAAGTTTGGAGCCAGAATTCTTTAGAGATATGGATGTTTCCCATTGATTTGAAGATGGTCCCATAATTGAGTCTGTGGATTGCATTGTCAATGTCCATGATAATGTGTTTGGAGGATGAAATTGCGGTTGTAGTTTTTGGCAGGAGGCAGACCAGAGCACAGATATAGAATGGAACCCAACGCCATTGACCAAAACCTACAAAGACATTAAGAAGAACAGTAAGATGGCGATAGTCTGAGGGGTTGTGTTGATCAGACACATATAGCACTATAAACATTGAAAAAAAAGAATTAAACTTATGTCAGTAATAACTACCATATACCAAATACAATGTCCTATTCTTAATGAAACTTATAAATTCCTAGTCAATTCCATGGATAGCGAAGAATATCCAATCAAATATATCTATTTTATGCAAAACTGCTTCCTCTGTTAATGCCAAATTATTGCCAATGAGTTCAAAGCAAGTTTTCTAAGACATAATCATTATCAGCTATGAATTAAAACAATTTTTCAATGAAGTGAACAACTATGAACATTATTTAGATTGTTATAGATAAGTTTAAATTGATAAATTTTAAACTTTTAATGTAACACCTATACTATCTCTCATTCAAGAGTTATGACCAAGGTTAAATCTTTTGTGACAGACAAAAAGACGGACAGACGAACAGACGGATGGACCGATGAAATTTAATGTTCCTCCACTTTATAGAAAGTTTGGACCAATATGAGAATCTATGCAAACTTCAGAGAATGCATTCATATGTCAGCGTCTTTTTGATATTGATGTTTTGGTGATACAGATGGGCAATTCTAAATGTCAGCAAAATTATTGTGTTTGCAAGTTTTGACATCGAGAGGATTTTTTAGTCCATTAAAAAGTAATCATAAAATTTGCAAGACATTAAAAAGTTACGTAGCACACCTTGATCAAAAAACTTAAGAGACCCCTTAATCACAACGCTCACCTAAATTGCAAAAATGTCGATAAATGAAATCTCAAACTGAAGCCACCAAATTATATTTCATAATTTCCACAAAATTCATAGTATAAGGACTCAGGGACTTAAGGTCAAGATTGCAAATTACGGCGTTGTTACTCCTGCAAATATTCCCCCATAAAATGTTATTGTTACCCCACCCTAGCATCAGGACCATGATTTGAACAAATGAATGAATTCTGTCACAGTATCAACAGTGTCAAAGCCATGACATAAGCGGGTTTCCAGCAGATGAGCAAATCAACTTTACTGGACTAGTTTGGACTTGTCAACAAAATAAACGGATAAACAGGTTTCTTCGTTATACATGTACTTTCTGTCCGTTCTTATATTCAAGGCCTTATACTCTTATGTGCTCGTTGCATTCCTGGTCAAGTTACGTCATTTAATTCATGAATAATGATGAAAAAGGCGGAGTCATTTCTCCATATGGGCGGCTTCCCTACACATGAAATGGTGCCTACTTCTTCTTAGGATTTTAAATCATATAAAGCATCTCCACTGAATCTCACGTATTTTCTAGGAAAATGCAGATACAATGTATATCCATATCAGCCCTCATCAAATGTGCACAGAAATTAAGTCATGCTTTGTGAATCATTTCATACTTTTTGGAATACATTTTAGATAAGACATCATTTCATAGAAAAGCGAGGAATTATCATGTTCTAAAATTGGAATTCATTGTATGGGTGAAAATATAAAATGTCAAACGTGGCAAAAACCATAAACCATATTACAGCCGATCGAAATTTAACGAATGCATATGCAAGGTCTTGCGTGCCATATTATAGGGACAAATAATATATAGGCTATCTCCATTTCAAATCTTGTCTTGTCTCGTTGAAAAGTTAGAAAGCTGTGGTCTGACTTTTTGAATGCTTTTCCACTTTTTATAAAGGATTCCTTTAAAATTTTCTGACAGGAATTTTGGTTAAAAAGCAATAAATTCATATAGAGTTTAATATCAGCCAATCAGAATCAAGATCATGTGACTGCATGTGCTTGTATGGTTAATCAAAGAAACTATCTAAATAGGTCGTTTATCTTTGTATATATAATTTCATTTTCAAACGTCCGACCAAACACACATTTGTTCTGCATATTTATTATCGGCCGCAGGAGCGGCCGATCTATTTGTGGTTGTGTTAGAATGTGCACATGGGGAAATTTTTTCATTGGTTTGATGGAATAATTCCTTACTGACAACATACATAAAAGTTATAAATAAAAGTTTTAAAAAAGTCTAAATGGTTGTAACTATGTTTCAATTTGTTTTTCATTCCCCATCAGATATTTATTAATTTATGATTTTATAAAAAGTTGTTACATTATCTGCTCCCAAACATGAGCGTGCGTAAGATAAAAAAGCAAAACGTATAAGGTTTCCGGATATGAATTACAGTGCCTAAAGTAATTAATTAATTGTAAGAAGTTTTAAGAAGAAACTCATTTTGTTTTGAATCACTACAATTGCAAATGACACAATGATTTTTTCCCCTGCACTTTACATTTCATTGACAGTATCACGTGACATAGATCCAGGGTATCAGCACGCGAAGTTTGTCAGCATTCAAAATAAATATTCATTTCTATATTTGTTGCATTAGTCTTTGAATCAAATAATTTGGTGAAAATACATTTCTATCCTTTATCTCAGTCCGATTTTCATTTCCCATGAATTTATTTATTTTGATTAATACTAGTATTTAACAATTGATCACTGAAGATTAATGTATAAAAATTGCACAGAAAAAGTTAGGCAATATATATCATAAACTTTCGAATTCTCTACTTTGATTTTTTTTCTTTAGGTTCTTTCTTGTGGAAATACTTTAAAATGTTTAATATATTTTTGCGGCCGATTTGATGCTTCGCATCAATTTAACTTGTTTAAATTGTTCGTATATCCTTCGCAATGGGTAGTTTCTGAAAACAATAGCTACAAAAGAGTAACAGGAAAAAAAAATTATAAAATGATAAAAAAGTTTCAAAGCTAAGTTTAAGTAAGTAAGTAAATTTTATTTATTTAACAAAAAACATGAGCTTTAAAGCTCTTTTGCCGACTAGTAACATAGAAACACAGTTTAGCACAAATAAAATATACATATACACATAAGAGAAAACATACTTAAATTTCACGTCGACAGAAGCACATAAACACACAAGAATGGAACAAAAGACACTGGTAAACACACATAAAAGAAGACATAAAAGACACAACATAAGAAAACACACACACACACACCCACACCCACACTCACACATATATATACACAACAAAAATCATGCACACATATAAAAAGAAGAGGGGTTAAGACAGCACTAATATAGTAAAATCATAACTTAAAACCAGCAAACAGTAAGCAACAAAGGGGGAGACATTAGGTATGAGGCATAAAAGTCTGGAGTCTGCAGGAACAACACTTACAATTTAGTTCTTCACACCAAGATGAAATGTAGTTTGAAAATTGCTTGTAAGAGGAGAATTTCCTGACTTCATTTGGCAGAGAGTTCCAGAGCTTGCTGCCTCATACCTAAACGATTTCATTACCTTGTTGTTCTTGGTACCTCTGCAGTATTTGTATATCTAAAATCGTATGAATTGTTTTTAAAAACAACTAGGTCTTGCAAAAATACAGGACTTAAGCTTTGGATAATTTTAAAAGTTTCTAGAGCAATGGCACGCATTCTTCTATTTTTCAGGGATGGCAGTTTAGATTCATGTAACAGACTTTCATATGAGCTTTTATAATCTTCATAGATAAATCTCAAAGCCCTTTCCCGATTTTTTTTTCAATTTTACGAGTGTTCTGCTCTGAAAAGAAGTGCCTTGTTAAAGGACAATAACTGAAGTCTGACATTATGAAAGATTGATATATTGTAAATTCTCCTAACTTGTTAAATGCTTTCCTATTCGTTTAAAGAATATTTAATTGCCTTGCTGCCTCTTTACACATATTTGTAATATGTGTATCGAACGACAACCTGGTGATGCCTAGAAGCCTAACTTCATCAATACAGGGAATTTTGGTTCCATCTAAATCAATCACAATGTTTTTACTTTGTGTTTTCTTACCAATAGAAATTGCCGGAAATTTTTCAGGGTTAGCCTCCTGCATTTTATTTGAAGAAAACCATCTAATGAGAGATCTACTGTCATATTCTAGAGCTGCTACCACCTGTTTTAAAGATTTATCAAACTTTGATAATGTGTTATCGTCTGCATAATTGTTAAATTACATTTTTCTGCAAAGAAGAACAAGTCATTAATAAACCAAGAATAGATCCTTGTGGGATACTTTTAATGATGTTTAGCATGTCACTAACATGATTCCCTACTTTAACACGTTGTTTTCTGTGTGAAAGGTAGCTGTTTAGCATATCTTGTGCTGTCAAATAGGCCATAGGTTTTAGCTTCAAAAGAAGTAGTTCATGGGGAAGGCAATCAAAAGGCCTTGGAAAGAGCCATAAAAGGACTGCAGTATATACTTTTTTTTATTAAGTTTATTTTTTTTTCATTTTTATTATATATATATATATATATATATATATATATATATATATATATATATATATATATATATATATATATATATATATATATATATAATCCAGGGCATATTTCCAGTCTTCAATAACTCTTAATAAACTGACTGACATCCAAAACCTGACCGAAAAGCTGATAAAAATGGATTAAAAATTTTATTTAAAAAGTTCTGTAAGTTTAAGTGTATATAAGCAAGCATCAGATACAAAAAAAATCTGAACAAACTTTATTCGTATAATCTTAATTAAAGGTGCTTAGACACAGATTTGAAGTTAATATTTTCTCAAATTTTCTGTATAATATCACGACTTATATATTGCAATAGCATTTCACACGAAAATATAATTAAAAGCTTATTTTATCTGGAAATTGTTGGAACTACGAATTCCTGGACGCGTTTGATTAACACATCCTTGCACTTTCAAAATTTTATCTTTATCCTTAACATTTAAGAAAAGAAGCGATTTTGTTGTGTATTAATGAAAAACATTACATCTATAATCCAGAAAATTCAGAGTAGAAATGTGCGAAAGCAAACCCCTTCACTAATATCTTCAGCCCGTGCTCAGTGTTGTGTTCAGAGTTTAACAAATTAAATACACCCATGAAACGTAAACTGTTTTTGTAAACAGGGCACGAGCTCTGTTATTGTTAATGTTTACGATTCACCGGGTATGTTCAATTGTTAAAGTCTGCACACACCACTGAGCACGGACTGACAATACTGTGAGTGGGTTTTGCTTTCGAACATTTCTACTCTGAATATTCTGGATTATAGTTTTAATATTTTTCATTAATACACAACAAAATTGCCACTTTTCTTAAGTATTGAGAATAAATTTAAAATTTGTGAAAGTGCAAGGATGTGTCAATCAAACGCGTTCAGAAATTTGAAGTTTCAATAACTACGAGATGAAATAAGATTTTTATTATTTTTTAGTATTAAATGCTATAGCAACATATAAGTCATGAAATTATACAGAAAATTTGAGAAAATATTAACTTCAAATCTGTGTCCAAGCACCTTTAAAACATTGCTGTGATGTCATTCCTTTGTTTTTGCAGTTTAAAAATTTACCTGTAACAGTCAGATATAAGATATGAGCTTTCTGATATTAAGTGTAATATAAAGACTGTCTCGGTACTAATATCCTTCAAAATTGGACTGTTACTGAACAAAACAAATTAAAATGTGATTACTTATCAAACAGCAGTGTTTGATTTTATGTGTACAATGATTATTTTAAAACAGAATATTATTTATTGATCATGCAGAATTTGAAAATAAACAGATAAATTCCACTTAAAAGAATATACTGTAATAGGATTGATTGTATGTTGTTTTACGTCCCATTCAAGAATTTTTCACTCACATTGAGACGTCACCATATACCGGTGAAGGGCTTCGAATTTAGACCTTTACTCGGCACTTAGGGCCATTGAGCAGTGAGGGATCTTTAGCGTGCCAACGCCTGTCGTGACACAAGGCCTCGGTTTTTAAGGTCTCATCCGAAGGACCCGCAACTTTCACTTCAAAGTGCCGAGCGCTTGGCGAAGGAACAGTTGCTACCTATTTTTTTATCGACTTAGGTCCGTCGCGGCCGAGATGCGAACTCACGACCTTCCGATCACGGAGCGAGCGCTTACTGTAATAGGAAAGGAGAAAACAAAACGATTCAAACTAAAAACGATGCTTTCATTTATTGTGTTAAAAATTAAGAAATTCCCTTATCTGTCTTGACACTATTGAGTGTTTTTAAAGTTGAGTTAGCTGCTAATTCTATCATGTTAATCATAGGAAAGATCTACTTCTGGTTACAATTTACTTTTAAGTATCCATTACGCATGCAATCCTTTATAAGGTTATTCTCAATGTCTGCAATAAGAAATTAATATTTCATACAGAACTGTACTAGGCATGTAACTAGTACAGATACTACGCTGAATAAAACTACATTTCGTTCCATTTTACATCTGTGGATATAAATATGACGAATAATCCTCCTCCATTTTTCTAGACAGCCTTTCCCGTAAAATTGTTTTTCTGCCATTGCCCATAGTGAATTTACCGGCAGCTTTCGATTTCCTTACGTTTCCTCTCGGATTTTTTCTTGTTTTATCCGGATTTTACATAACACATACAAAGACTAATCGGCATAAAAACACCTATTTTCTAACTAATTGAACAATAGCAAGTTTGTACCTCCTCGACAGCAACTATTCCTCTCGGTTGTGCCTCTGGAAGTACACTGTACTTACGGTCTCAGGGAACAATAAATTTGCTATTGTCCTCATAGCCAGTATGTAGGTTTAAGATATACGTATATGCACAATAATCGCTTGCAAAAGAGAGTTTGAATTTGACATCAAAGCTGAAGTAATATTTATATAATAATTATTATCATAACCTTAATTTGTAAAGCTTCAAAGTTTGGAATCCTTTTTTATTTTGCAATTCCAAAATTAATAAATTTACATTATCGGTATGAAGGTGATACAAAATGACAGAAATGACCATAAGTACTGTAGGGTAACAACATTTGTTGAGTGACATAGTGAAAATGTTTTGTGGTTCATTCATGTAAATGAATATCAATAGAGTATGAATAAAATGCATAAGAACAAAAAACATTGAATGTTGTGATTTTGAAGATTTAAGCTCTTTCATGTTTTCTGCTTCTTTTTCATCCGTATATTTTGGTAAGTTGGGACCCTAAAATATAATTGAAATATATATTTTAACTGTATCGACATTTCTTTAAATATTATATTTATGTCTCAACATTGATATATTAAGAACTCCATAAGAAAAATTAAATTGTCTAGCTAAAAAAATAAAAATATAATAATTTTTTTCTTTAAAATTTCTGATAGAGAATATCAAGAGATAAGCCTAATACACTAGAATTATATTTGTTTATTTAGAAGAAAGATATATTTAAAAAAAAAACTACACTTACGTTTCGTCCTTATCTGAGGAAGAGATAATTACAACAGTTTTAAAGAAATAAATATTTATTTATTTATTTAATTCAGATAAACCTAAAATTGTTGACTTATAAATATATAAACCAGTATTCACTGCTACAAGATTTACTTACTTTTGATTTGATATCCGGTTTTCAGGGTTTCGTAACTGTGTTCCTCTGGAATTTCTTCCGGGAAACTCTTGGATTTCCTTAAATGGTCAATAGCTGTGGGTTATAGTGACCCATCAAAGGAAAACAATTATTTCTTTTTCTTTATATTTTGCAGTAAAGAATTAAAGTAATATATTCATTTAAATATTTTTGGAACATAAGAATTTATGATGTACCTTTTCCTGTCTGATACCCTACCTGAAATAAAAGTGCTTCAATGAGCTTCAGTATATAACAAGACTCACAATACGATATATAATGGTAAAAATAAGGTTAAAATGCTTTGCTTTAAAGATACATACCATAAACAAATTTCCTTATCTCCCATACAGAAGAGTTACATTGCTATTTTTTCAATATTTCTTTCAATCCAATTTTAATTTGAAAATTTTAATTATGTTAAATGTAAAATAGACTCTGGAAGATGTCCCTAGAGACTTTTCAGTAACAAAATTTCATAATTATATTTCTTAAATTTTTCAATCGTTGTAGCTGTAAAGTTATATTTTCCAAATTCTCACCAAATTATGTAGCTTGGGAAAACATAAAGTTGTTCAACTAAACAAATATTACTTCTTTAGTCAGAGAGGCCCCTATTTAAGCAAAGATATTTAAATTTTGGAAGAAAAAGCTAGTGTTATTTGTCCCTAAACATGTACTATCAAAATCATAAAAATCTAAATTAAACAGTTCATATATCTCACCTAATTTGACAAGAACCCAGGTAATCAGTGACGACTCTTTTGGAATTCTCCTATGCTGAATAACGATGATAATAGTGCAGAAAAATAGGGCAATCAATAGGATGGTCAAGGTTGCTCCAAATGCCGCCGGGGAAATTCCCTCACTTCGAGATTCTTTAGAAAGTACTGTTACAGTATGGGTGGGGTCTAAAATTATATCACGTCCTTAAACATATAATATCTTGGACATGTCTTAAGTAAATATCCATTTTAACAAATTTTGGACCACATTACTTTAAGATACTCGGTAGAAAGGTTCATTGAAATTTTTCCAATAGTTCTGGAGTCCAGTTTAAAATTGACAGACACCAGACAGTAAGACGGACAAACTTTGACAAGAAATGCTCACAGTTTCAGGTGAAGTCAAAGCAATGCTTTTATAATATAAATAAGTAATGCTTAAATTTTTATTTGAAGTTAAAACACATTTTTTCCCATCTCAGCGCGCTGCTTTTAGTAATATTTACATTTCCAATGTCTTTGTCCGAGCTAAAATTACAAATTGTAAAAATACTTTATTTCTACATAAATCTACTGGTTCATCGATAGGCGCGGTTAAAAAAAATCACGTGCAGGGCGGGACAAAAAGAGACAGAAGCGGGGCTATTAGCACGGGAATTTGCAGAATCAGGAGCATGTAAATATAAGGAATAACTGTCAGATTTTTTGGATTCATGACGATGATCAATCGATTGGCTTGCGTGATAATTTTATGCATAAACGCCTTCGGCGTTTATGCAAATTATCACGCAAGCCACTCGATTGATCACATCATGAATCCAAAAAATAAGACAGTTATTCCTTAATTATAACATGAAATGGTTACCAGTGGCATATCTACTTATTAGAAGTTTAGTGTACTTTCAATACGTGAAAATATAACTATATGTATATTATAAGTATTTAAATCAAACCGATTATCTTTATATAACAGCTGGAGGATTTTTGGTCGTAGGATCTTTTTATCAAGGTATGACTACTTTTCCCTCTACAGTAACAAAAAGCTTTGTCGTCTGTCAGTTTTGCTATAAATGACAACTCCGTCGATGTGTCTCTATTTCTGACACCTTCACGCATCATGACATCATTGCAGTACCATGACCACGTGACCGGTGGATTTCCAGCAGACGACAGTGAACATCGAAGTATAACTGGAGAACCCTCATTAACATTGATTGTCCTTGTGCTGATTTGAGGATAGTCTGACGGAAAATCTGAAGAAATTAAGATATGAGTCACTTATTTTAAAGGTTGAAGAATTAGTCTGTATGCTTTATAAGAGCATCTGAAACAAAAAATCGTCGATTTTGTCTCTTTGAAGTAACCAAAAAACAACACACGATAACATGGTCATCTATTTTTTTGCAAAGTAAATTTACGTTTGTTTATGTCATGCATTAACATTCATTCAAACTTCAATAATGAGAAATGATAAATTGTAACTATTTAATTGTATTATGAAACTCACATAGAACACTGACATCTGCAGCACTGGAAGATGCCTTGAATTCGTACGATCGTGAACTACCCTCTACCTCGCAGTAACAAGATTTGCCATTTAGACCTTGCTCAGCTGTAAAAACAACTTTTGACGTCAGATTAATATTAGTTATTCTTGAGTAAATTGTCCGAGTTCCACATTTCCACGACCAACGTATCGGAGGGTTTCCAAGCGAATCAATCGAACATTGAAGAGTTATATCCTCTCCAGCTGACTTTTCTATCTGATAAGCATTTAAAGTTGGTGTTGTCAATGGTGGATCTGTAAGTTAAGCATATAACCAAATTTTTTAATTGAGACGTTTACTAATTATAATATGCAAATATTCTATACACTTACAGTAAAAGCGCCTCAGTACGTATTAATGATAAATTTACACGGAGCTGTCAGTGCATAGTAAACGGAAAAAAAGTCCGTCGCGTCATGTGCGCGCAAATGGTTACCTTTGCCGGATATGTCAGTCAATTATGATTAACCGAAGCCGATCACAAAAAGCATGCATACATGTACTTATGGAAAACACCATTTGAATATACTATTTGTCATGAAACAAGCTAAGAAATACAAACTTACAATAAACTTGTATGCTTCTGTATGTGGAAGTTGAATTGTACGTTTGCACTGAAGAATTTGATGTTGCTCGACAATAGCAAAGTTTCTTGTTGAATTTCCTATCTGCTTTGAAAGTCATTGTGCTTGTATCACCGCTGGAGGTAGAACTGGACGTTAAATCTTTGTCACCACAAGTCCAAGACCACGTGATTGGGTCCGAGTCTGATGGGCTTACATGCACTGTGCACTGGAGCGTCATCATTTCGCCTTCTTTAACGTTGGAAGATGGCAATGCAGTCAAAACTGGACGGCTGTTTGGAATTGCTTCAAAAACTTAAATACATCAATACTCCCTTTATAATTGAATGGTTTTTGTTGTAACATCTGGCAGAGTAAAATGTGAGTTTTTACAGATTTTATTTATTTTCTTATTTATCTATTATTTATCTATTCATTTACTTTAGAATGTGTGCATAGTATGATTAAGTGTGCATGACCCTGATACATGTACATGTACCTTCGAAATGTTTTTTTTTTTATTTCTATACGTTCCAATGTAAAACTTTATTCCCTATTGTAGACTCATCCTACCCCGGGTTTATGTTTTGAAAATTTTTAATCTCCAATGCTTGGCTATGCTTGCAACTTCATACGACAAATCAGGGCCTTTTGTTCTTGAGCTAGAGGAAGATATTTTAAGATATTTTACAATAAACATGTACTTCTGTTTGAAAATTTGATTGCATGTTTTGGTCCCATCCTTACCCCGGTTGTCATGTATCGAACAATGTTGAATCACTTTGACAAGAACCTTTCACATAAGTTCCATATCTTTTCTGCTTTAGTGGTTTTCGAGCCAATTTTGAAATGACATATAATATTTTTGTCATTTCTTGGGGGCATGGTCCTTCGTTTGAAATAATTTTTATTCTCTTCACCCAAAGATACCCTTTGCCATGTTTGGTTGAAAATGGCGTAATTGTTATGTAGAAGAATTAAATAACTCAACAGATGGAGCGACAGACTAGCTGCAGAACTGTAGCTCTCTGCTTGAGAAAATTCGGACATGACAAAGCAGAGAGCTACTGTAACAGTTCTGCAGCTAACGACAGACATACAGACGAGTGTACAGACGGACGACGGACGAACTTCAATCAGAAGAGCACACATGGGCCGAGTAAGCTAAAAATACAAGGAAGTATATTAATTTGTTTTTAAAAAAATGGCTTTATTTATAATTTCCGTTTCTCATTGAGTCTTGGCTTTCTATCACATGGTTTCCAGCAAGCGTCTCATGTTACATATATTTCTTCTTACTTATACTGTAGCAAAGCCCTATAGAAGTACCTGCTAGTGATATCCCTGACACTGGTAATGTTTCAAGGACCTAAATTATCTGTTAAAATAAACCTATATTGCATTCCTAAAGATTTTTTTCCCAAAAAAATTATAAAAGGGAATTTTTTTTTATAAGCTGTATAGATACGAGTAAACTCTTATTTTTTAAATACATTTACATGTAGAATACTGTAGTGTGTTGTAAAGAAACGTCCCCCCCCCCCCCCAATTTTTGTAATGGAACACAATCTTGCAATCTGTTTTTAGTTTGGTGTCCATAAGGTCACACCCTGCTGCATTACAGAAAAATTTCGCACCACTTACATATAAAGAATTCAGTGCAGTTCGCATCTAAAACTATTTAAGGACAGACAATACGTTCCTCAATAATATATAATTTTTTCTGAGATTTTGTCATTGAAGTATTGCTATTTTTAACATGCTTACTCACAATAAATTGAGGTGTCTTACCAGGCATTTGTGCAAGATACCAGAGGATGATGTTTCCTATATAATCCTTCTGGGGAAAACTTAATTTGCCGATGTCACATTTTTTATTGTTTTAATTTTTAAAAGACAATTAGAAACAAATTTAGAAATCAGAAAGTATTTAAAATTTTGAATATTTTCCATAAAATATGAAGATATACAAAACAGATATTTAAGAAACGTATCGTCTGACCTTACTCTCAATGGACGACGTTTAATAACATACTTGGACCTGTTTCACAAAAGAACTTGCGACTAAGACCAAAACTTGGGATGAATGTAAAATATTGCACAATTAATGAATATATTACAAATTGCCAGCATAAATATATCTTTCTAAATTATTTTCAAAAGATTTAAACCATTGTCATATTACCGAAAAAAGGAGAGTTTTTTGCAAAATAACATTTTAGTCTTAGTCGTAAGTTCTTTTGTAAAACGGAGTCCTGTCTTTTTGACATATTTTCTATTTATCAATAAAAACTAGTAAGTTCAAGTTCACTCGGATAGCTTAGTCGAATAACCGGGGTAGAACGATAGTCAAGTACTCATTTATGTCAGTTTAATTAACTTTTTGTCCTTTTTAAGACTGATTCTACACTCAATATTTTGATAAATCTACCATAACATACAATGTATTTTCAAATATAAGTATTAACTTCGTAGAAATACCTGTGTCTAAATTAAAATTATTTTTTAATGCATCAAATGATATGGCTTGTCATTTCTTCTTAGGTATTAGGGGTGTAGTACGCCATTTCCGTAAAATGACGGCATTTGCCGAGGTTTCCGACATTGACAGTTTTCGAAACACTGTACAAATTATCTACCTTCGTAAACAAAAATGACGCGTCGTCAAGACGAAAATTATTTGTATTTTCTTATTCTATGCATGTGAGGAACAAAATAGTTTTTTTTTCTACCGTTTGATAAGTGTTTCTGTACCTGTATATTTTAGCCTACATTGTATAGTAACTTTCTGAACTAATAAGAACTTCATACACATGGAAGCTGCAAAAATGTAAGTCAGTTTTTAGTCTAGGTCAAGGTCACTGTGACTAAAAGTCAATTTTCTGAACAAATGAATCCGACTAAAGTGAAGTGTATTGAATATGACTATATGAATATTTGCTGTTTATATGTGCTCACTATTTCATTTATTACCATATATCCTATGACATTTATAAAAAAAAAATGGCTTACATTTTTAGGGGTATATCGCTATGATGTAGAATATAAATAAATATTGTGGATGGAATAAATTGTTGTTGTTGTTATATTATCATAAACACTCTTTGCATAAAATTGTTTGTTGATCTTTTATTGATCTTTCCTACCATATTTTTATCAGTTTAAATGACAATTTGGTTATCAAAATTGTTTGAATTCAAAGAAAAGTTCACTAGTGATGAATTTAAAATAATTTTAAAACAAGTATTATAAAGTTTATTGCTCTTATGCACAACTACTTTCATAAGAGGATAGAAAATTTTATCAGGCTTTAAAACATCACCAGATTTTCAAATACTCATGGAAATGCATAAATGACTCTTAAATCTCTCCGTATGTTTAACTTATATAAAAATCAACATATCAGCTTGATAAAGTACATTTTTTTAATTTGTTATCTCATTTGAAATTGGTAATAAAATGTTTTCCTGTTTTCAGTCTGTAAACATACATTGTGTGCCCCTACCCCCCCCCCCCCCCCCCGGTTAAACAACAAAACCTTTGGTATGAATTTGTGAAATAACATTTCATAATACCTGTTAAAACGAATTAATTAGTGTTTCAATGGGGTGGGATGTTTTGAAGATAATTTTTCCGTTTTCCGTTGATACCTATAGTGAAAGGGTTTTAATTTTTACCAAATTAAAGACTTATCCCTCTTTGTTTTCCCCAGAAAGTTATGTTTTATGAAATTAATAAAGATTTCAAGATAACAAAATAGGCAATATCATCTAAAAGCAGTGGCAGTTGGCAGTACGCAGTTGGCTGTCGTAAATGTATATGGAATTCCATAGTAAACAGTTAAAGTGTATTAAAAAATAACTTGCCATAAATAATAAATAAACAATTTTGTGCAAACAACAAATCCAGTAATAAAATTAATTTATATCAGATCTTGATAGATATCATAAAAAATTATCCAAGTACGCACACATACATGTATGCCCAATTTCATGAATGCTGACTTAAGTAATCGTTCCTGTTTATAATAAAAGATAATTTAATCTACATCATAGGATGATCTTATCTTTCACAACTTTAGACAAGCTGAAGAAAAAAATTCTCTCAATTTATCAACTTGAATTTAGAAGTACTATTCAATAGCATGTTTTATACAAGTAAAAATATTAAGTCGACAGCTGGTCGGACCGAACGATAGTCGAGAACTCGAATTCATGTTGACATCTTTAACAAAAAAAAAAAAAAAAAAAAAAAGTAAAAAAAAAAGTAAAAAAAAAAAAAAGAAAAAAAAAGAAGAAAAAAAAGCTTAACCTCGATTATATTTTCTTATCATTGTTTTACACTAGTGTTACATCAATAAATCTCAGTAGAATTTTCATTTCATTTCAGAGGGAATGATTAATGAATGTAAAACATCCCACATTTTCAGGCAAGCAGCAATTCAACTTTTCAAAAAAGACACTCCATCAATGTATCAAAACATGTGATTTCTATTTAGGCTCATGTTCAGATAAAACACATATGCAAAGGTAAAAATTGTGGAATTGTTAGGTATTTTATCCTCGCATAATGCTTTAGAAGTTGAATCAATTTTAGTTGTATTGTTCGGCTTACGTTACTGTAATTTCAGATTTAAAAAAAATGGAAAGAAAGAAAAAAGACTATTCTATTAAGTATTTTTTTAATTCAAAAATTAGCATGAAGCTACAATTAATTTTTCTGCCTAGGCTTCTGTAGTGTTGACGAACTCTGTATAGTTATAATTTAAGTAGCATGAAAAATGGCATAGCATTGAAAAAAAATATTATTTGGCTTTAAAAGGCTTACCTTTAGTAACCGCAACAATTAGAAGATAGAAATACAACGACATCATCGTTTATGAAATTGTTGCAATAAAATAAGAAACACGGAAGAAATCATCATAAATAATTTTGTTTTAAATAATTTCCGATTCCTCTCTGAATTTAGGAAAGTGACAAGTGAAAAGTATAATATAATTATCAAAACAGAGTGACTAACATTATTAATATAAATGCTCTTCTTCCTTATTGGCAGAAGCTTTTGATAATTAATTGACTCGGTGATAATGTCACATGAATTATAAGTACGTGACTCTGTACTTGAATTTCATTTAGACTGTGTTACATAAGTGGGTTCTTGTATTACATGTATATGGATTTCTATGATACAGGCTACATACTGGAATTAGTTAAGAGATAACAAAACACACACATAATAAAAAAAAGATGTAACAACAACAAAACCGAAATATTTGAAAACGGGAGTATGTAAAAGGGTAGGGTAAAAAAACCTGCCCCCCCCCCCCCCCCCCAAATCGTGTGGGTTACTGTTGGAGGTATTGATATCAAAGATACGATATCCCCGACGAAGGTAAAAAGGAAAACCTTTTGTCAATTTTTCAAAACCGGTACTTCATTGTATTTTTTCCCCTTCTTTTTCCTTGCATTTTTTTTTTGAAATGTTTGTTGTTTAATTAATGTTATACAGTGTATTTACCTTGAACTTGCTGTAGGGAGAGGGCTAAAATAGGCTATGCCTGCTTCCTAATCCCATTCACTTCATGTGAATAAAATTATGTAAAAAAAAAAAAAAAAAAAAAAAAAAAAAAACCTATCTCGGTTGGGATAAGGGACTAGGGACAAGCACCTTCCTCCTCTCTTTCTCAAAAGAAGAGGACAGAGGGTTGTCCGAATTCCTGGATCCGCCACTGATTGGCGCTAATGACTTCTTTATATGAATTAGAATTGTTGAAAACAGCAGTCTGTTTAAAGTTTATTTCTAAATATGATAAAAAAAAATCTACATATGTGTATAATTTACGGTTTACATGTGCTAGACTGAGTTAGACATTGCTTAGCAATATCGTCCCAGTAAGTAGTGGCTGGACAGCGACGAAGAAACACGCCATCCGGAGCGCAGGAAATGAAGTGATCACATCGATGACAGTCCGCGAAATCACCATCAGATGGACAATCCTTGATAGAATTAATTTGGTGACAGTTTCCTGTTGTTGAAATATGAAAAGGTTACTAGTATTTAATGGTTGCAAACATGATTTACAAATAACGTATATGATATGACGTTAATATATGTCTCAAAAAGGATTTCTTGTTAAAATTCTCAGTATAAACATTAAGATAACACGGGCGTGTTAGCACATATAAAGACTTCAGTTCATTTTGAATAAAATTCCAAATGTCTTTATATGAACAATGTACGTGTATTTTTCAGAATGTTTTCCCTGTAAATTCATTTACACGAAATAACAATCTAAATGTTTCCTTGGTACACTGAGATTGAACTGAACAACACAATTTTATAATTGTATGCAGAGATATACATAAACAATGGGGACAAATTAAAACAGGTTTAATAGCATACGTGAGTATGGAGACAGAAAAATAGTACAATTAAATATGCACGTATTTCACGAGATCGGTGAGCAGGTTTTATTAATATTTCTAATAGATATACATAGTTTTCTGTATTTCACTAGAGATTGTGTAAACTGTTATTATAATAACACCTATTAGAGAACAATGAACATGCAACGAACGAACGTATCTCGATGACATTAACAGTAACTGTTACCTTATTACTAGTAAATGAATACCATGAATATGCAAATTTTGTGAATTAAACGTCAGTTGGATACCAGGGGGGTATGTAGGGAGGCCTTGCTCTCTTGTTAAATCTTCAGTAGTTGTTCAATAAATTATTATATCCATGTATTTTATTTTTAGTTGATATAACCTATTTCAACTTTTAAATTTCATAATATTTTATTCTTTACGAAATAATAACAGTCACTTTCTGATATCTGTCAGAGGTTGGCAGTTTTGCACTAAACTGCTCTCTCGATGCCCTCAACGTGGCCACGGTGAAATTTTAAATCTGGATTGTCAGTTTCAATGCTGCCAATCTAATTAAAATTAGATGTTCCGAATCCGCTACCGTGTGAGAAGCGGTAGCGGATTCGGAACATCTAATTTTAATTAGATTGCAGTGCTGCCGTTCTTCTTCAGCTGTCCCTGAAACTGTTATTCCTTTTCGGTTCTTCGAATGTTCCCTCCGTGTATAAACTCCTTGTATTTTCAGGTAGACAATTCATATTACCTCCAATATACACAAGGATAAGAGATTATCTGCATTTATGATTAAGATATATCATAAGCAATTCCTCAATTGAAACTTCTACTCGGCTGCGCTTATTTATCTTTTTGAAAGTTTTGTGAAAATAGCTATTGTGATGCAATTAAGGGTGTTCGATTTATAATAAAGTAAAATCACTGGAGCAAAATGAGCGTAGCAAATTTGGGCCAATGAAGGAAAAAAGTTTGTTTGTGTGTACCGTTTCCTTTATTATTCACACATGGGTTTTATAAATTTTCAAGAAATGATGATTTATTAATTGTAAAGTTGTACTTAAAGGGTAAAAAAGAATATTTTGAATAATGAAGAAGGAAACAAAGGATACATCAAATATATTTATGGGGTTTCTGAAAACTGATACATGTAATACTCTTAAAAAACTTGAAGGTTTTCTATTATATTATTTTAGAAAATATTGCTAAATAACATGTTCAGAGTAGAGTAGAAAAATTACCCCCATTTTTCCTTTTGGTACAAAACATAAAAAATAATACATGTACATATAATATACCTTTCCCTTTCTCCAGAACACGAACAGTAAATATGAACGAAAGGAGACAGCTTTTCTGCTGATAGCTTTTATGTTTCTTCAGTACAGACGGAATACTTTAATTCCCATGCTTTACAAAAATAGTCAAGAGAGGCTATTTCTGATTATTCAGCCCATGTTTCTTCAATACAAAATTCAGTGGACGTTGCCGTTTCCTTACATAGAGAATGAAGAAAGGATTCCTCCTTTGGGTTCCTCTTTGTCTTAAATTTGTGTTGACAATATTTGACTTCCTGGCATCTCCCTCCCCCAGCAATACTTTTTGGATAAAATTCATAATATTAAAGACTGCACCAGCAAACCCTGCTATGTGGAGCATAGCAAGGGATAATTACCGAGACAAGTTCTGGATACTGAGTGGTGAGACAGTTGATTCATTTCTAGAATTAATCAATCGAGTTTTCTTATACCTCTAGTTCAGTTGCATGGAAACACGAGAAATGGACAGTCAATGATGTCTAGATAATAGAGTTTTAGTGATATTAATATGGCTTAGACATTACCCCACCTATATCAAATGCTTTCTTTATGCTTTGGAGCAAGTACGTCTTGTGTAGGGTACATTTTGAAAAAAGGAAGAAAGAAACATGGTTTATGCTGGGTCATATAGCTTCAGAAATTCGCTGGAGAACAGCAGCAGAATGGTGATTGACAAGTCGCTGGGACAACACGCAAAACGGAATGGGTACCACAGAGAACATCCAATGAGATTTACATCTCCCACAAAGGGAGTCTCGGCAGGAATTTTAAAGTGGACAGAAAATTTCATGACATTCATACACATTTAAAAGTAACTTTTTCCTCGTGTAGAAATGAACATTTGATTTCAGCAGACTGTGGATATCCTTATATTAATTGCACCACTTATACCTCCGAACAAGACCGCCATTATCATTCAACAACCACGGCATGAAAAACGTCATATCGACGACATTTTAATGTACGTCATCGATCAAAATGTGTTTACATGGAACATATCATTTAAGATATGAAGACGTTAAGATGATCAGTCCTTATATTGCCAGCCTAGATGGGAACTCACATTTATTGTTAAACAATGCTCATCGCATTGATAATTATTTTAATATCATCTACAGAATTTATCTTCTTATTATATACAAAGGTCATCCTGTAATACATGTATAGTGTGGTTCGATTTTCATATGTTTTAACAAAAAGCGAATTAAAGCTATATATGGCGTATCTGAGCTAAAAAAAATTAAAATACTAGATTAAGTGTAGATGAACATGATATTTGTTGTTTATGATCAAATTAAAATTTTCACCGATTTCGAACTTGAATAACCCCACGTTTCTATAGTTAAATTGACTTTAAAATGTGTTTGACATTTAAATGCGGAGTCGGCAAATAAATGGGTTATTGTTTTAAATTTATAATATCTATCAGACTATGAAACGCGATTGATTTAAATTGTGTAATTTACAGGAAAAACCTATCTTTATATAAAGGAATAAAACAAATAGAAAGATCTTTTTAATTTTAGTTAATCTGAACTTACCAAAAAATACGTCATATATGACTTTAATAAATACACGTTAGAACCTAAACATATGCATATTTGTTTATAGAGAATAATACATGGCAAAATCTGTATCACACCCCATATCAACCCGAGACTCCAATATCAGCCCTAGGGCCGAAGCTAAGGCCAGAGGGCTGATATTGGTCGAGGGTTGATATGGGGTGTGATACAGATTTTGCCATGTATTGTTGTTTTTATTATATATTTGAAAATTTCAAAATTTGCCCATAATTAAAATAGATATGCATTTCTTATCTGTTTTTGTTGTTTATTATATATTTGTTATATAATACAGGATTTTTGCATCCCTGATATGAACACAGGCACGCGGCCTTTAATACACACCCTGTATCAGCACCCTTTATTTTACCCTTTATCACACCCTGTAATACACCCTTCCGGAACATCTTTGTATTTTTCATTCGGAGTATTTCGGATCTTTTCCGCTTGGGAGCAGACGATAGTTAAGTAAACAATGGACAAACGAACACCAAGAGAAATTGAAATGGGGGACAGAGTTTTAGAATCGTTAGCAAGGAGAATTGGGGAACTAGATGAACTGATAGAATCAGAAAATTCAACAGAGAACTTTGTCATGAATATGCGGAACCCAAATACAGTACGGAAAACATCCACAGACGTAAACAAGATCCTAACCTGGTTACGAAGCAAAAATGAAAATCGAGACATTTGCGATATTCCTGCGGCGGAGTTAAATACCTATTTGGCCCAATTTTTTATGACAGCCACCAAGCAGAATGGCGAACAATATGAGCCTGATACTTTAAAATCCATCCAGTGTAGCATCAATCGTTTTTTTAGCTGAGAAGGGTTCTAATCTAAACATCATCGAAGACAGAGAGTTTAAACATTCCCGGGATGTTCTACTATCGAAAAGAAAACTACTGCGACAACAAGGAAAAGGGAACAAGGATAGAAGAGCAGATCCTCTAACTCAGAATGAAAAAGACATCCTGTATTTCAACAATTTTCTTGGTGGAGGTATGTAACTTTTTTTCTGTTAGTCTTTTCTATTTTTAGAATAGGAAAACCCTTTCAAGAAACATAACTCATGTATTTTGTTTCATAGCGAACCCGAAAGCCTTGAGCAACACGGTGTATCTTAACAATTCAATGTACTTTGGAATGCGGTCCAGAACAGAACACGTCAATCTTAGATGGGGAGACATTGAATTAAAGGAAACATCGACAGGTGAAAAGTTCTTAGAGCTTTCTGAAAGAGTAACAAAAACCCGCACAGGAGTGACTGGAGAAACAAGAGCATTTGCACCAAAAATGTTTGAAGACAAAGGTAGGCCTCTATTTTGCATGTCTTATTCTGATTTTTTATATACTCGTAAATGATGAATTAGTAGTAAGAATTGAACATTGAAATCAATTTTTAAGGTAATCCAAGATGCCCAGTGGAGATGTATTTATTGTACAAGAGAAAAAGGCCCGACAAAATGCTAGCTGAAGATTCATCTTTCTACATTGGCATAAATAGGAAGCCGACTGGGGATTCGTGGTATGTGTCACAACCCATGGGTAAAAACACTCTAGGAAACATAATAAAGTTGATTTGTGAGGAAGCTGGTATACAAGGCCGAAAGGTAAATCACAGTGTAAGGAAAACCGCTATTACAACACTTGTACACGCAGGGATTCCACCAACTCTAGTGCAGCAACATTCTGGCCATAAAAATATTGCTTCAATAAACAACTACAGCACTGCATCTATCAACCAACAAAAAGGTATGTCAGATCTACTGAGCAACTTTTCCAAGGGAAAAACAACGGATGCAGCAGAGGAAATGAACGATGATCTTGGTGGGCTTGAAAATGTTCTCCAAGAAATTGGGAACTATGAATTCAATAATGATATTATTAACAATATGTCTGCAAATGCATCAGTTCCATTTCCCCAGCTTAAAGGCTTATTCACCAGTTCCACCATTAATGGAAATGTAACAATTAATTTCTGTAAAGAGTAAACTGAAAACAAAGAAACTTCACAGAGAAGAGTTGAAGCAATGTCCTGTCTTACTGTTAATGTTGTTAATTTAATTTTTACTTCATTAAATATGTTGTATCATTCACCATTATGTAGTTATTATTACTTTAATTTTTATTGGCCATTAAACTTAGAAATATTTTAAAAACAGATATACAACAAAAACAGATAAGAAATGCATATCTATTTTAATTATGGGCAAATTTTGAAATTTTCAAATATATAATAAAAACAACAATACATGGCAAAATCTGTATCACACCCCATATCAACCCTCGACCAATATCAGCCCTCTGGCCTTCGGCCCTCGGGCTGATATTGGAGTCTCGGGTTGATATGGGGTGTGATACAGATTTTGCCATGTATTATTCTCTATTTATTACACTCATGCATGCTGTTGTATTACAAAAACCGGAGCGATATACAAAACAAATTCTCTATGTATCATCCGTCCGTACGTTTCGTCAGTTACACATGTAATCACAAAGTAAATAACGTTCCTAAAATATAGATTCGTTCGTTACGTGTTTGGTGTTCTCTATTACCTAAATGCGCGTGGAAATAAAACGTGGTCGTCTCCTGGTTACTTTCAGCATTACTTTCAACACCTCTTTTTCAGGCAAAGGCTTATTACATAAAACTTTTAATGCATACCAATAGTTCCAGTTCCACTTCCGGGTGTAGTATTTCCGGATCCGGTTCCTGTTCCACTGGAGACGCGACACATTTGGAACTCCTTGCCAATCTTCCAGCTGTTGTAAGTGTCACAGGTTAGAGACGACGTGCGAGTTCCGTCGTCGAGAGCAAAACCATCGTTACATGTTTGGGTGCAAACACTTTGAAGGGAAATAAGGTTTAATATTCAGACTTCACGCTAATAATTTTATTTCATTTAATTTTTTTTTAAATGAGCTCAGTATGACCAAAAACAAAACAAAAAAAAACCAACCAAACAAAAAACAAACAAACAAACAAAAACAAAAAAACAAAGAAAAACAAAACATAACAAATTAAAACAAAAAACAAACCCAAAAAACAACAACAAACAAAAAAACAAACAAACAAACAAACGAAATTCTGTGTGTTGAAGAAATGCTGGATTAAAAATAATTTTCATTTATGTATATTTAAAATATATTCCAAATGAAGTTAAGATAATATTAAGTTTATTTTTTTAGGCACAGTTTGTTATATGATATTCATCAGACTGGATAAACAGGTCCATTCTGCAGAAATTGTTTGTCTGAAACCTTAAATTGGAGCATACTTACAGCTGGGACATTTTGTATGTACACTTTACTTTGGCATTTGTTGCTGATCTAATAGGAAGACACCTTGTTGCCAAAAATGGATCTGAAAAATTAAAAAAAAACTATTGTAAATTCTTATTTTATATAACGTTATTAAAGGTTATAAAAATTCAAGCTTTTATACCTAAATGGGGTGGGTTCAGTCCAATAACGCTGAAAAGTAAAGCATCACTACTGATGAGGCACCCACCTAAAACTATAAAACGTGGAGTTAATATATAACGAACTATTTCTATATTGTGTATAGTACATTGATAAATTACCAGTCTGTAAGATTCGTCATTTATAAATAGAAGCAGATTTGATACATATTGAAGAGTAGTGTGAACAGAAAAAAAAAAATGAATGCATATATGCATGCAACTGGAAACAAGAACACTGAATATTTAGGCTTTACTAAGCTTCTCTTAATGTTTTATAAATGTTGGAATCATTATACTAACCTGTCAATGCAGTTAAGAGAAAACTCATGTTGTCAGATCTTCGTGTAAGTACAAATACCAAGAGAATGTCGTTCACCAAGTTGATCTGCCTATCTTTGATGTAGCACAAACCTCTTAGATAGAGATAAGACATGTCCATTTTATCTTCTGATATTCAGTATCTGGTGTTGTTTAATTTTTTTATATTTCGAAATTAACGAAACAAAGATTTGTTTTTTTTTCTTTTGAGGGTAAAACAGTTCATGTATCTGCATTTCTGGTTTTTGTAGAATTCCTGTGAGTTTTTGCTTCCTTATAAACGTAATTCTTTATATCCATTAAGTACACAATACATTTTAAAGTCATGGGGAATTAAAATCACTGCACTGTAAGCATCAATTCATTATAAACGTGTTTGCTATAAATGTGTTTTACTGATTATCTAAGCAAATATATAATTTCGTTAATGTCTAAACAACAACTTTAATAAAATAGTAGATGAAAGCTTAATATGTATTTATGTTGATATCATATTTTGCTGGAAACATATTATCGGGTTTTAAGTACATATACTGATATAGGTGCCATAAGCTGCAAAACATACATGTTACATTCTTTATAATTCTTCCACCTTAAAGATGCATTAATAATTAGGCATTTCCTTTGATACTTTAATCCTATCAGCATGATATCTACTACCTCTAGCAGATATAAAGGATCAGGAAAATTATATTTATCAAAAGGGTGGGAATCCATTGGAAATCAACAGCATTCACCCCCCCCCCCCCATTCAAAGCTATGCTCAATTTCTTTGAAAGTAATTACCCTTTTAATTAGTTTTAAAAATGGAACAATTTTAGGCTTAAAATTTATTTTTCATATTTTCTCTTACAATATTTATTTGCATTATTTCAGTTTTCCCTGTCGAAATGCCTCTTCCCTCTATTACCCACACCAGACGAATAAAAATTAACATTCCTAAACAGAGAAAACTAGATGCTGTCATGAGACAGTAATACCCGCACTAAGGTGTTTGTCTCTAAATGAACACTCCTTCATATTGGGCTTACCAAGGAAAAAGTCCAAAAAATACATAATTTACTCAGTAAATGTATTCGTCAATTCCAGCATAAAATGCTCAGGTGACCATGTGACCTATAAGCCTCTTATAGGTATTTCCTTTACTTAATTCATTACCAGTCTGAAATAACAGAATTTAATTAATTCTGTAAATTATGATTTGATAAAAGGGGGGATATAAATTTTTGGCCCATAATTGGAACTTTTTAAATTAATATTTTATTTTCTCAACAAGAAATAATATTATTTTAGCACAAAGCGTTTTTGATGAATTTATCAAAATGTGCAAACGTTATTTTTTAGTATTTGATTAGGCAAAAACCTCCTTAAAAAACCATACCCAATCAATCAATCCCCCTTCCCCCCAACACACAAACGCACACACAAATTGCCGGTTTTTGGAAATAGGCCTAGATGGCAAAGTTATGTTAAAACATCGTTTGTTGTGATAATTTAAAATTTGTTCTTGTACTGTACATGTATGTGAACACCTTTTTGAAAATTTCTACATCACATTGAGCTTGCGTCACTCTTCTACATGTAGTACTAGTTTTATCATTATCAATTTTACATTGCACATGCAGTGTGGTGTACACATCAGTAGAATTTAATTATGTTCCCCAAACGAAGTTTAAGAACATATTGTTTTTACTCTGTTTCTTATTATTTTTCTTTTTTATTCTTATTTCTTCTCCGGTACTTTTTTGCCCGAGAGTGTTCTGGGAAACTGCTCATCCAATTGAGTTAAACCTTATTAGGTTTAATAGGTATGTTGTGTAGATGTGTGGAACGAAGGTCATTTTGCGCGCACATGCATGCACGTGCGGTCGCATGCAGTGAGTGAAATGACTGATATACTTCATATAGCCGTAACTTTTATATTTTTTGATGAAATGCTTTGAAACTCATAACATAAGGTTATATTAGTAGTGTAGACAAGATAACATGGTCAAATTAGCATGATCTCACGCGCATACACGTGCGCTTTGCTCTGATTGGCTGTAACAAAAGTCTAAATATCTTTCTTGTTTTTTGACAAAATACTCTGAAATTTATGATATTGTCACACATTAGGAGGTTCTACAATATAATATATTAGAATTATCATGAAAGCACGTGCATGCACATGTGCTGCAATCTGATTGGCTTAAATTTTAAATGGCTATAATTTTCTTGGTTTTCAACAAAACAGGATGAAATTTAGAATATAAATAGGTATAATGAATTCCTACATTATGCAACTATCAAAATTGAATGGAGGATCATGCATGCACGTGCGCGCAATGCGTTAAATGACCAATATACTTGATATAGCCGTAACTTTGAAACTTTTGATGAAATGCTTTGAAACTCAAAAAATAGAAATATATTAAAAGTGTAGACAAATTGATATGGTCATCATGCATATGCATGCACGTGCTCGCGCGTGCAATGCTGAAATGTCCAATATATTTTATATAGCCGTCAGTTTTATATCTTTTTATGCAATGCTTTGATACTTAGAATATAGAAATATATTAATCGAGTAGACGAGAAGATATTAATAGTCAACATGCACATGCGTGCACGCGCGTGCAAAGTGTAAAATGACCAATATACGTGATATAACCGTAACTTTTATACTTTTTGATGAAATTCTTTGATACTCAGTTTTATAAAATATATTAATAGTGTAGACAAGATGACATGGTCATCATGAACATGTATTCACGTGCGCGCGCGTGTTATGCGTAAAACGACCAATATACTTGATTGCCTTATTTAACGAAGCTTACGGGGAATAAGGCACCAAAAGGGAGTTGGGGAGCCTTTGAGGAACATCTTTAACGGTCCCCGTTACAATTATAACTAGTTCATTTTGTGTTTTAATTGGATTATATTTCATGAAGTTGACAGGACCTATGACAGTCGGTAAGTACAAGTTTAAGTATAGATTGGGGTAAAATAACTGAAATGCAAATGGTTAGATTAAAGTTTAAAAAGGATCAAAGATCATCGGATGCCACGATAGACGAATTTCACATTCTGAAGAGTTATCTCCCATTGTCGACACTACATTCAGTTACAGGCACAGATCCAGGAATTTTTCCGGGAAATAAACAAACAAACAAAATTAAAACAATGATGGTGGAGTCCATGTTTTTAAAGGGGGGAGGGCGTAAGAAGTCATTTTTATTTGCTTCTGTAAATCAGTATATAGTCCTATTTAAATAACTCGCAAATTCCGGGGGGGGGGGGGGGGGGCTCCAATCTCCCTAGCCGCTCCCTGTGCCTGAAATGACAAATGGTCATGTGACTCCAAAATAGTAGGAAACTTTTCCATTTGTCTATACATAATTTTGTTGCTTGTGTTATTACGTTATGTATATCTAATGGTTTAATGTTATGAACCCCTGGAGGTCATTCCCACTCTCTTAATGAACTGGAAATGTTCACAATATGACTACATCAAATTAAATAAAAGTGCATCAATGATAAGATTGCTTGACATTTCATTCATGAATTTGGGTCAACCCATGTACCCTCCTAGAATTAGGAATGAAAATCATTCAAAGAGATGGACCATTAAACTATTTGTTTATATTCACATTTTTTTTCATGTCAAAACAAAGTACTAGTTACATGAACAAACAGGGGTCTGGGAAGGGGAAGGGGCGAGGGGAAGGAGTTATCTTTTTACGTCTTAATTGTTGAAAACTCCTAAAATGAATGTTAACCTCAAATCCAACTTGTACGTCTTCATTATTTTTAAGTGGTGACAGGTGTCTCCATATGAGTGAAAAATTCCCGAGAGGGACATTTAACAACAAACAAACATTAATGACTTAATAAACACAAAATACATGTACATGTTTATTAGTCAACGGATATACTTCTGGTCATATCTCTAGTTCTCCCTTGAATCAGAAATGAATGATACAAATACATGTAATTAATATATTAAATAAAAATTATATATATTAAATATTAATTATATATTAAGAGTTGAAAAGGTTGTGCATCTTAAAAATTGACTAAGCTCTGTGGTTGAATTAGCTATACCAGTTTAGCTTATTTTGCTACTCAAAGCACCTTGATTAGCTATTTTTTATCATACTGTTTTCTGAAATGTGCAGTTTTTTTTCAACTTGGATACAAGTCATACATTTTCAGCTTCTGAAAACAATGCATGAAAAAAATGCTTTTCAAATACTGTAACTCTTTCCAAGTATTTGTGATCATAAGTTTTTAGCTCACCTGAATTTTTCTGGTTTTGTCTGTCATCCATCTGTCTGTCTGTAAACTTTTCACATTTTTGTCTTCTGCACTAGAACCACTGGACCAATTTCAACCAACCTTGCCACAAAGCATCTTCGGGTAATGGGGATTCAAGTTTGTTCAAATGAAGGGTCACACCCTCTTTCAAGGGGGTATAATCAAGAATTAGTGAAAATTTGGTGGTATCATTTAAAAAAGTCTTATCAAGAACCACTGACTGGGCCCAAAAAGTTGAAACTTTCTTTACATAGACTTAGATTTGTTCAAATTATGTCCCACTGGGGTAGGGTGGGGCCACATATGGGGATCCAAAGATTTACATAGAAAAATGCAGGGGATTTTTTCCATCATAAATCTTCTTCTCAAGAACAGCAAGGGCATTATTGTCATCCGCTTTCGCAAAAGGGACCTAGTGGACATTAAATCTCATTTGTCTGTCAGTCTGTCCGTTTGTCAGTCTGTCTGTCTGTCACAATAAATGTAACCTTGGTCATAGCTTTTGAATAATAAAAGATAGGGCTTTCATATTTCACTTGTACATTACCTACAAGAACTTTCTAAACATACTATGATTTTTGAACCCATGACCTTGAAGTTTGACCTACTTTTCAAAAAATTTAACATTATTTTAAATTGATCATTTTGAAAGACATATTACACATGTATATTACCTGTGACAAGACCTTTCTAAATATATCATGACTTTTGACTCTGTGACATTGACCATGAAGTTTAACCCATTTTACAAAAGAGTCGTATTTTCTTATTACTTTTGATTGAGAAGAGATAGGAATTTCATATTTGACATGTACATTACCTGTA